AATTCGCATCTCGTCAGAAATACATGTGATCAGTTTGGTTCTCGCCTTTTCAGCGCTGGCCTGTTTAACAAGGCGGTCATCTTGGCCTTTTAAATTCGGGTTTTTCACATTCGGTGAAATAACATTCGGCTAGTTATCACGTCAACTATTCGACTAACACCATGGAGCAATTTGTCCTGGATCCGCCCCTGGCGCAGTCTTATACAACAGCAGCAAAAGCACGCCACGTGAGTTGCACGAGTATTTGGGCAAAGAACATACATCAAAGTGCGACATACCTGCTTTTTGATGATGATATCACGGTCCTTCTGCATTTTTTGCGTCTACCAAGTGGATGACCTACGACTTGGCCATGCCTAAATCAACAATCGATGACGGAGACAACAGCGCAAACGTCGCATCCGCCTCACCGCCTTCCATAGCCAGTACCTGTGCCTACCTCGCCAGTGCACGGCGACAGGGCCTGTTCGCTTTTTAATTCCCATCGGCGTCATGCACCATTGAGGCTGTCAAGGTCCTCGCCTCACAAACTCAATAGCCAGCCAGTTTTTTTCAAGGCATCCGCCTCGTCGACCTTATACGCTTTGTAAAAGTCTAGCTGCCTCTCCAGCTGTCAGGTCTGATCCAGGATTTCGCCCAGGGAGGGGACACGCTTCATTGTGACGCCCCTGGAATTTGGTACCCCCTCTTTACAAAAATGTTCACGGAATGCGGCCGTTTCATTTTCAGATTCTTCTTTTGCGTCAGGAAGCCATCTCCCTCTGCGCATCGTGCATCACAAGGAGTAGTAAATAGTTATGTACATTGCGCGCGCGCATTCTTTCCCGAGTCTGATATGCTCCTACCACTCTGAGCTAATTATTTCGGAGAGGATGTGGCAAAACGACTTAAAGTGGACCACTGAATACAAACCGGTCAGGTACAACACGTTTCGAATCGTCAACTTACGCACGATGAAACTAGTAGAACGTTGCAGCGTGTAGGTCGCTAGCTTTAAAATTGAGTGGTTAAAAGCGAAAGCAGGAATATGTCCACAGATCCTAATTCATACTGACCCAAGCGACATTGCGTGACGCCATTGTTGCAATGTCTGTGCGGCAGCAAGCGGCAAAGAAAGTATTGTTGGCAGACTTTTGACGCGGCATGCTTTCTGGCAGTAAAACTCGTTAAACCCGTTAAAAAAGTTAAAAATGTGCATCGTTTACATGAAAATAAATAAGTTACGTATTGCACGTTGCCGAACCAGGGCCCTCCCTCCACGCCATACAAAGGAGGCACACGCCAGGACCGACTCGTAATAGGACGCGCCCGGATTACGGCCCGCAGTCACCCGGAGGCGCTCGACCCTCGGCTCAGCTGACGGGTCGGAGAGAGCGCCACGGATCACGGTCCCCGGTCACCCGGAGGCGCTCGACCCCCGGCACAGCTGACGGGTCGGAGAGAGTGCCACGAAGACGGCCGGACGGCCAGCAGCACGGTCCACGCGTGGATCGATGCGAAACGCGTGACCGCGACTTTCATGCAACACAACAGTCCCAACGCGCGCGACCCACGCGTGCAATCCACGCGTATGATGAGTACCTGGAAGGCAACGTTTTTACCACCGCCTCCCAGGGACGGTATATAATGCGAGCCTGTCCGATGCAATGCAACCAATGCCTTTTAGATTCCCGACAACTTCAGGCAGTGGTCCTAGATTCCCGACTACAACGTTTTGAGTATCTTGAAACGGCGCGAAAATGACTGAATTCTAACTGGGGAATGTAACTCCAGAGATACCTGGATGGGATACGATGGGTTTCACGGATTCAGTAGCTGAATAATTATTGGATATCACGATTGTTTCTATGTCGAGTAGTTTCTGTAGAGTTGGATATCACTGCGCCGCCGGCACGTAACGTCATCCTGGATTCGGACAAGCGCAGCTTTGTCGGAGCAAGGCGTGATGTACTCTTGCTGTCCACGCAAGCATTCATCAGGCACAATGTTTCGCGTCCCTAAAAAAAATGTGACTTGAATAACCTGCCACCAACTACGCTCAAACGTGAGTTACTTGTTCATGTTTCCATCCCTTTGTCAGTTACAGGGTGTCCCGAAGTTGATGCGCGGTTGCGTCGTCCTCACCAACAGAGAAAATAATTGAGGCCACCTGATTATTTATTTGTCAATCTCCACGTAGTCGCATACACCGCCGCATGCGCTCCGGCATCAGGTTGTCGAGAGTCTATGCACTGACGCTCCGCCACGCCGCTTGCACGTTTTGGAACAGGGTCTTCTCTGAAGTGGCCAGCGACATCTTGCTGAACTCCTCCTTGGGTATCGCCCAGAGATTCTCGGTCGGCGACATGTTGAGGCTGTTCCTGGCCACGTACATCTTCCAGAAGCCTGGGAAGTTTGTGCGGTACCAGTCCTAGGTCTTCCTGGTGCGATGAGCTGAAGCGCCGTTCTGCTGGAGAATCTCCCTCGGCATGTCTGGCAGGAGTACGATTTTGGTTGGTGGGCTACTCTCCTTCCTCCGCTGCAGTGTTCTGCAGCACCTCGCTGACGTAGTAGTCGGCGGTGACGGCCTGCCCACGAGGGACCTGGTGTAGCTCGGATAGGCCTCTGTAGCTCATCATGCCCCAGACAAGAATCTTTAGCTTTTTTAGCTACTTCACTGTCTCGGCGATCGGCACCTCCGAGCTGTTGTTGGCCCAAACCCGATCATTTTGGCGCTTAGGGGCTTGGAAGAGCTCGAAGGGCGACGCGTCACTGAACAGGACGCGTCTCCAGTCCTGAACAGACCAGTCCTTGCGGACCTTGGCCAGCTCCAGCCGCCTACGCTTCTGGTATTGGCTGTAACCTGAGCTTGAACGGTTCAGTTGCAGGCCAGTCTTCACGGACCAGTGGACGGCCGACTTGGGGGCTAGGTGCTTCTTCGCCGTCAGTTTTCTCGCCAGGGTTCTAGTCGAGTGGCGCCTTTGAAGGTCGACTTTGAAGTGACGATCTTCGCCACTCGGCTCAAGGCCGACTTCCACCCGCGACCTGAGTCGTTTTTGAGCGTCTTTCCTGAGCGGTCACGGGCCAGCCAGCGCCCAATCGTCGCTACGTTGACGCCCAAGTTCCTGGCGAACTGAACCTGGGCCGTGCCGTCCTTGACCATCCCAACTACGCGGTAGCGGATCGATGGCTTGTGCTCTTCCACGATCGGTGATGAGCGGACTCGACGCGTTGGTTATCTCGAAGGCGATGACCTCTCCCGCCCGCTGCCGGCCGAGGTCAGGCCGGCCGCCGGGGTCATGTGATCGCCTGACACGGCGGAATGCCCTGGGGCCGAGCGCGGTACAATTTCACTCACTCATCGTTCAGGAGAGGGGACATGATAGGCCGCACCAGCCGCGCATCAATTTCGGGACCAGCTCGATGGACAGCTCTTTTTCGTCACTCCGAAGCAGGACTTATTTGCACCTCACGTTTTTGTTCATACATATTCAGTTAACCAGCTTTGTTTCAAATATATATATATATATATATATATATATATATATTCTTTATTTTTCATGTTGGTAAATTTCTTCCACTGGAAGAAAAGCCAGAACCTACCACAAAATACAATTCTGCATATGTTTATAACTTTAAAAATGGAACTAACCAGGAAATTGATGGCAGTACTGAATAAACAATGGGGCTTTTCGGCTTAGAGCGGTTCATACGGCTCTTTCTATTAAACGGTACCAGTCGCGGACGCTGTCGGGCATTCTCGTGGTTTTACAAAGATATTGTGGGCCCGTAGATTAAACGCCAGTGTAAATCACAACGGGGTAAACAAGTTTGCATTGATATGTCCAGCCCAACTTTGCCATGGGAAGTTCATTCTTTCCTGAGAAATTATCAGCAAAGATGGATATATATATATATATATATATTTATTTATTTATATATACACATGCGTGCGTGCGTGCGTGCGTGTCAATACCCTTTAAACGTGAAGGTTTTGGGCCCCTTGGCGACACACCTCCATCTGGCGGTTACTGAAAACAGGTGGTGGTGGTGTTTACTGACCGTGGTGCCCCGGCGTAAGTGTTGATGTCTGTCACCCACGAACGATTCAGCATTATATTAAGGTGACAGGCCCCTTGTTGTTCCTCAGGAATTTGGTGTCCCACGAGGATAAGATTTCGGGCCCTCTTGCCGGATTGCATCATGCATATCATACCTTCAGCCTACTCCCAAATGATAAATAAAACGTTCGTTTCCGTGGAAACGACCCCCCCCCCCCCCCCCACCGCCCATGTTAATATCTGTCTTTGCTTGATTTCCAGGGAGAACTTCGACCGCTCAAAAGATTGCCAAAAAACACGCCTTGTACAAAGACATATCCACTAATTTAGATGGGTAATGAAGCGTGACCGGCAAGGGCCATGGGATCTTCCCAAATGCGGGGCGGGAGCCATTTCTAACATGTAACATCGACCTTTCTTTCACTCGAACAGTTTTTAAGCTGGATGCTGATGGCGGCTGGTCACAGTTTGAGACATCCACCGTCCGCTCTCGCCGATTTGTGCCGCTGTCGACTGCTCGACGCTGGGTGCAGCGTCGGCGGTAACACGTCATCATTCGAGACCACCGTCGCCAACGACTGGGTGTAGAAACAATGGAAGGAGGCGGGCGCCGAGATAATAAACGTCGTTTTTCAAGCAAATACCGTTCACGCATCACAATAGGGTCAATGTCAAATTTTCATCAGAAACAGAAACAGGAGTATTGGCCGCGACCTTCTCGGGTTTCCGTTTCTGCGCTTGTGACCACCGGCTTTAAAATAAAGCCCTGCGCAGTGCACATCCCAGCTGATACAGCCGACAGTATCTAAGCAGTCAGACACGAAGATGGACAAGTCAACTAATTCACTTATTGGGCAGAGGGTGGGGCGACTCGGGGCGGTTCTGCCGGTCGGTCTCAGCGTGTCACCACCGGCCTGGAGCCGTCTGGATCACATAACACCGACACAAAACACGCAGGCATGAACAAACTGCCAACATGGATGTATTTGGCTTGAGAGTGCGGTCACTATCCACCAAAATTCAGTCCCACAACAGGTCCACACACCGAGGGCTCCCGATCAACTCAGTAATGAGCGACTCAGCCGCTATCACAGCTCCCAGCGGCGCCGGCGGCCCGGCTCTGGGGAGGCCGCCGCCAGCTGACGGCGCCGGCGGTCCGGCCGCCCGGGCGGGGCTGGGGGCCGCCAACGTCGTGGACGGCAGCGCCGCGGCCCTGACACGGCCCCTGGCAGAGCCCGGACAGGTGTCTGCACCGGCCGGCAGCAGCGGCTCCGCGCCGGCCGCTGGGTTCGGGCGGAGCTCATCAGCAGGCCCACACGCCGCGGACGGAGGGCGACGGTGCGTCCAAGCCTCCGGCGTGCAGGGCACGGTGTGGTACGCCAGCTCGTGAATACCTGAAGGCGGAACTTCCCCCGATGTTCACCGCAGCGTGACCGGGACACAACAATGGCATCGGCGCTCCTGATCAGGACTCCATCTGCAAAGCACAAATAGCAATTGTTAGACATGCACAGTACCGAGCACTTGATTGTTTAATCTCCTATGCATGACATGTGTGCATGACATGACGTTGGTACTTCTACCGGAGGAAAAGACAAAGGTAGTATACCTAGTGATTGACCCCTGGCAAAAAAGATTCACATCAGCGAGCCAGAGACCGCAGACGGAAGCCCCAACATCCACCGAAAGCCTCGTTAGGTGCATGCGATACGACAAAGAACACCAACCAGGAACGGCAACACCCAAACAACTTACAAGGTCGGTGGGAGTCCTCATTAGACATACCAAAGTAAAAACGATGAGCCTACAGGACGTTCTGCTACTGTGTGCGAACTTACACAACGTGCATCGCAAAATCAGGGTGGTTATACCGGGCGTTCTCAACCGCGGATACTCCTCCTAGGGGTAATGAGACCAGACGCTTCCAACCGCGGGCAACTCCTCCAAGGGGTAATCGGGCCAGGCGCTTCCAACCGCGGGCAACTCCTCCAAGGGGTAATGAGACCAGGCGCTCCCAACCGCGGGTAACTCCTCCAAGGGGTAATCGGACCAGGCTCTTCCAACCGCGGCCAACTGCCCCGAGGTGTAATGAGACCAGGCGCTCCCAAGCGCGGGCGACTCATCCAAGGGGTAATCGGACCAGACGCTCCCAAGCGCGGGCGACTGCTCCAGGGGGTAATCGGACCAGGCTCTTCCAACCGCGGGCAACTCCCCCAAGGGGTAATGAGACCAGACGCTTCCAACCGCGGGCAACTCCCCCAAGGGGTAATCGGACCAGGCGCTTCCAACTGCGGGCAACTCCTCCAAGGGGTAATGAGACCAGACGCTCCCAACCGCGGGCAACTCCTCCAAGGGGTAATGAGACCAGGCGCCCCCGACCCCGGGCAACTCCTCCAAAGGTTGGTGGGATCACGCGCCCCCAACCGAGGGCAACTCAGGCCAAATATTGTCGGAGTTGAGAAAGATAACCGTTTATGCAGTGTCAGCAGGTAGACGCTGGCTGGAAGGTGATGTGCTGCCATGCACCGCATGCAATAAGCCCAAAATATCTACCATAGAATCCAAAAGCAGGGTCAGTGTTCCACTGGAGTATGAAGGTTCGAGCGAGATACCTGTCGCCAGCATGCGACCACTACGCAGAACACTTCTCTCCACCTATCAGCCGCTTGTATGATCTTGGTCACAACAACAGGCAAGATACGCATGGCCTATGCTTACTGAATTTTGTTGTTTGGTTCATGGAACATCATGATTCGATAAATCCTCAGGGAGAAATTAGCCCCGCAACGTCCGAAAACACTTAACCAAAGGGTGAGGCAAAACGGCAAACAGCTCTCAGTAACGTACAATGGGGCTACAAAGCTAAAAGATCGCTGTAACCTCACGAAATGCACTGCCTTACTCGGACCGCAAGGAACCGAGCTGGCCGGACCGGAGCCCCCCGTGTCCGCCTGGCCCTGCATTGCCTTACTCGGACCGCTTTCATGTCATTAAATTTAATTCATTGGACCGCACGGAACCAAGTTAGCCGGACCGGAGTCACCCGCTTCCGCCTCGCCCTGCATTGCCTTACTTGGACCGCACGGAACCAAGCTGGCCGGACCGGAGTCACCCGCGTCCGCCTCGCCCCGCATTGCCCGTCGTGCGCTCACGTATTCTGCGACTTGTATGATACTACTGCAATATTGTTCTACTGTATAACCGGGGCATTCATATTGGAGATCAGCACAGCTTTCATTTTTCCATGACACATTTCAACCAATGATTTGCAGGGTAAAATTTGCAGTCAAGTCGGTTTGCGGTTTGTTTATAAAGATAAGCAATGCTGGCACTGATTTGACGTCATCACAGCGGTCAAGTACCACCATTCACTGATGACAGTGCGTAAAAGCATGCACAATTTTGCGGTGGCATTTTTTAATTTTATCTATTTTCCCAACCAGAGGTCTGGAAGAAATCTTTTGTTTTCTTCGCAATCCAAAACATAATAATGTATTACCAACTGGGACTTCGGCAAAACTGCAGAAGTCTCAACCAAACGCAGCATGATTTTGGACCGCGGACACCCCTCGGGCGTATTGCGTCGTTACAGCAATCGTTGTCGTTTAGTTCCAATAATACAATCCGTTAAATTAAACTTAAGTGACAGGAATGTTAATGAGAGCGGTTTCACGTACTTACGCACCAAATTACAAGAATTTCGAACGCTCATAACTTTTGAATCCCCGTATCTAACGAGCGTTTTCAACTACCATAATGCAGATAGAATCGAGTAGTCCATTTCGCCCAACAATACAGTCGACAGCTACAGAACCGTGAAAACATTCTCCACAACAGCCTACGTATCCAGAACCATGCCCGAATGCGGAGGCGTCTCACTTTCTGCCGTCGATCGGGCCGGCGCCGTTTGCGCCGCTTCTCCTCGAACTCCGCGACGAAGCCGGCGCGGCCGGCGTAGTCTGTCGGCGCGCCGAGCTCCTCGGCCGTCATCGGCACGCCCACCGCCTCGGGCAGCATGAACGGCTTGAGCCAGAGCACGAGCGGCGTGACGCCCGGCCGGTAGCGGGCGCCGCGGTGGAAGAAGAGCGCGCCGTCGGCGGCGCGGCCGGCCGCCGCCGCCGCCGCCGCCAGCTCAGCCGGCGCGCAGGCGGTGTACGGCACGGCGCAGAAGCGGTACGGATTGCGGCGCGACGCACTGGCCACGTCCGCGCTCTCGGCCAGCTTGGAGGCCAGCCAGGCGAACCGGAACTCCGTCTGCCAAGGTCAAGGGCAGATGTGTTACACGTGAGGACGGGCTCAAGTGTCGGCGTCGAGCACTTATGGTCAGGGGGTGGGGGGCTGTAGCGCGCGCTCGGCTCCGAGACGACCTACCGGATGACGAGGAGCTCGACACCAGACACGGCCTGAGGGCTCAATCCCCCCCCCCCCCCCCGAGCGGACGTGGAGAACAGGGGAGCACGCACACACGCGCGTTCAAAGGGAACACCGACCCTCAACCCGCCCGCTGATGCCACGAATTCGGCTCACCAATGCGGGTTCTAGCCAATGAAAACAACGACCCAGATCATACGACGACCGCCACCTGAGCAACAACAAAGACCCGCCTCCAAACGTCCGGTGGACTATTTCAAAGGGTCGACAACCTCGGCCGTGAGCCAGCGAGTCGGAAGATCACGGACAGCACCACCAACGACGCCAGTGAAAGCCCCCCGCACCGTACCTCACACTCGTAAACCTCGTGGCCGTTCCAGCAGATTAGGTCCAGCACATGGAAGGTGCCGGCCGCGTCGTCCCATATGCAGTCGAGCAGCGTGGGCCGCTGGCCGAGTGGACCGCGACAGCCGGCCGGCAGCAGCGACGGGAACGTGCGCAGCAGCGCGCCGGCTGCGCTGTACGCCCGCGTGCTCCGCTGAAACAGCGCCACTCTCCTCAGCACCGGCCTGGGGTCCTGGCCAGGCGACGGGCTCCAGACTGGCAGTGCTGGGTGTGCTGGGGGCGAGTGCGTCACGAACTAGGCGTGAGCCTAATTGGAGACGAATGACAGCTGAGCGCCGAGTGAATGGCGAGGGACTAGGCACGACACGGCTCATCGCAAGGGCCAAATCGATGTGTATCTTTCACGGCAGGTGCCTCTCTACGTGCAAACATCCGACGTAAGAATTCCACGGCAGAGCCATTACGAGTCCGTGGGCATGGATATGTATCAGTTCACCACATGGATTTGGACTTTCCTGGCGTGTTTCGGTTTCGTCAATGTCACCTCGACACCAATTTTTTGTTGGCGGTCGGATCCACCTGCGGGGTACCGCCGGATTGGCACGGACTGGATTGTGGGCAGGGCCGTTCCCATCGCTGGAACTCCCCGGGTGCACGGACGCGCGACAGGCACCTGCCGTAACTGTACCTTCGCATCGGAGCTGCACAGCCGCAGTCACCCGCTAACGATGTCGGCACAAAGAACAGCTGGCAAGTAGCGAGCGCTCGCTGACAGTCACCATAGGGCGTCGGCGACCGATGCGGCGCCGCGAGCACGTCCACAGCCCCGCGTCGGTACCCGGCGGTCCCAGTCGGGGCGCGCCACCAGACACCGGTCCGACCACCCGGGACGGGGCGGCCTTCCTGCCAGGCCACCGGACCGGGCGGGGACTGTGACCCCCCGTCCGGCGGTGGGTGCAGCGCCGAGCGGCGGGGTGACGGGCGCCCGGACCGTGCAGGTCCTATGCCGCACCGCCGGAGGAGAGCCGTGGCCATCTCTTAAGACAAACACACCACACGACGCAAGGCCGTTCAGGCCTGAATAGCAAATACACAAACCACACACCACCGCGACTTGCTTCCAGTCCAGACATACATAAATATTGTTTTATGACCGCTCGCCAAGTGCTGCGCGGCGAAGGCCCCGCCCAGGACGACGGCCGGCCCGTTACGCTGCCGCCAAGGTCGGCCCCACCCGCAGCCGCTCACCCTTTTTGCCACGACGAGGCACCGCTTCCCCGGCGGACACATCTTCAACAGCCAGTCCGCCTCCAGGTTTTCAGGCTTCTCTTCCATCCATTCGGAGAACATCAGCTGGTTCGAGTACCGGGACTGGTAGTACTCCTGAAGTACAGCCCGAGACGTTATATCGATCACGACACAGGAGCTCAAACAAGCGCTGACGCAGTGGATTTGGGAAAGTAGAGGTGCTCCTTTTCCCTGGCCACGTGCGATCCACATCGGGGCGACAGTAACCGTGCATGCTAGCCGTTGACCAGTGCGAAGTACGAGACCAGACACCAGCCCCAACGACCACTGGTCAGCGGTGACTGGTCTGCTCCGGACGTCTCATTCTACCGGCTCACGTCTGCTTAGAACAAGTATGTGCAGCTATTGTTAGAACAAGTATGTGCAGCTATTGATCTCGCTAGGAGACAGTGGCCTTCAGCCAGCCCTCTGGCGGGCCACCAACATACTCCTCCTCCCCGCGCAACCAGCAAAGGCGTTCGACATTGCCGCAAGTACCTTCTTTTTGTACTGGAAGACACTGGGCACGGTGGTGTCCATGCCCTCCTCCTCGTCGCCATCGTCGGCCGTCAGAGCCCGGAGGCGATCCAGCCGGTCGTCTCGCCCCCTGGCGGCCGTAGGTCGCATCAGGGGTGAGCAGGACGGGGGCTGAGGCCCAGACAAACCCAGCGCAGGCGCAGAACATTGCCAAAATGGAGACGGATCGAAGGAGCTGACACGACAACGCACGAAAAGGAGGTCGGTCGCAACCTGACGATACTCGCTGTCCGCTGACCGCTGGCCAGTTCCGCATTCTCCTCTCCATCGTCCGATGATTGCGCACGCGATCGCCACTCCCCTGGCCGACGGGTCGGTGAGACCGTCCACACGCCATGTCCATCACTAGGCCCACTTAAATCCATTTATGTCGGTGTTTACCGACGGTGGCCGACAACACAGCGCCAGCCGCCCGGACAGACCGCTATCAGCAATGACAGTGCTGTTACAAGGCGCTGGCCGCCGGTCAAAGTCCGGCGGTCATCAGGACAGCGGCACAACGCCGAACAATCACACCGAATCGTACACCGTAACCAAAAATGTGCGTGGCGCGGTTATCGTGACACTCAACACTTACGTGTTGAGTGTCACTTGTAGCAGTTGAGTGACACTTACGTGACACTCAACTGCTAGTGCCCAAAGTCTGGATAATTGTATGTAGATCCTGAACGTGAACTGGAATATATCATGTGCATTTCATCAGATGTGTGTGCAGACAGTGGACCAGCCTACAACATCAAACGATGATACGCGAGTAACGGTCGCGCGCTTCCACGCCACCCGCTAGTGACGCTCATTGCAAGGTTGTGCCCTGGGTTAACGCGACTACAGGTTAAGAGCATTTCCGCATTAAGCGAGGCCTCGGTCGTTGAACTCTCGATCAATCCATCTCGAGGCTGGCGCGGTATACGCCACATACTACGTTTCCAAGAGCCTCATCGCTGCCACGTCGTGAAGAATGCAAACCCGTTGCCAAAACAGACAATTTTTTGACCATCCTACAACAAAACAATGTTTGGCAACCACCACATTTCTCTGACGATATAGATAATGATTCCTGAACATCCAACCATGACAAACACTTGCGGCGAAGATTTGTCGACATCCGCGTCAGGTGTTGATCATATATTCAAGCTGATAAGTCATGCAGGTGGGTACTGGTTGGCACGTTATGGCGTGGTCAGCAAACTTAAAACTTCCAACAGTCGAAACAGAATCTGACGAGCGTCTCCGGCGGCACTGCGGCGCCCGTTTGGTGGCATCCACCAAGGCCAAATTCGTTACCGCCCGGACTATCCACGGCACGCGCGACCATAACCCACGGAGTAAGGTGGGCGATGATGTCATGAAGTTTAATAGCTCACTGGATGCCACAGACATCTCCATGGCACCCCGCACGGTACATACAAGGTTTGTCGCAGAGGGCTTGACACGCTGTCTCACCAAGGCAGGGTAATCTGAATGGATGATTCGTCTTTTAATGATCTGCCGACTTATTCAACGACACAAGCAACTGCTCCAGTGGCAAGCGTCGCGAGCTTGGAAGCCGATTGCAGCTGGGGACGGCGGAACACAGCTGGGTTTCCAACACAGCAGCTAGTCCCACAGCTAGGCTGCAACTCACAGCCCACCACACGGTTGTGGGCGAACATCCAGACGACTAAACTAAGTCTTCCCCGTTATTTGTTCCTTGAATTCGAAAGTGTTTGGCACTAGACGGCATACAGCCCCCACGCCTCTTAAATCGGAGTGTTTCTCTCTTGACACTAACATCCGTCCAGACGTCCTCTTATAGCGTTCACAGCTCGTCAACTTAACCACTTCGAGGCGTTGCACATCCGTCTTATTTGCCTGACAAGTTACTCAGTTAGCAGACCGAGGCCAACGACTCATCTCCCGCACAAACACACAAGCCAAATAAGCATTCCCCCGTTCCCGTCAGTGCCCGCAATCCCCACAAAACCAGACGTTGTCAGCCCCCTCCCTCCCGGCACCAGGTCGAGCAGCCCGAGCAGCAGTCCGTCACACAGGCGGCGGCGCCAGCCCTGCCGCCTCCGCCCCCAGACCGGACGCACTTTTTACACGGCCGGCCCAAACGGCCGCCGCCGCGAGGTCCAATTGCCAATGGTCGGAGTAATGTACGGCATCCTGCGGCGAGGCGACCCGACGGCGGCCGCCCGGAGCCGGCGGCGCCGGCCACGGCCGGAGACAGCGGCGCACGGGAGGCCGCACCGAAGCGGTGCCGTTTCCGGGGCAGGGCTCCGGGCGTCGTCACATGGGGAGGCAGGGCTCCGGGCATCGTCACACGGGGAAGCGGACAGAGGTGTAGCGACCAAGGGAGGGCTCTGGGCACCGTCACGCGGGGAAACGGACAGAGATGTAGAGACTGACGAAAGGGCTCCCGGACACCGTGATGATGGCCCGGATTTTCAGGTGCACCGATTGCTCCAGCCAAGTGGCGTCCAACCCGGACACCATTAGACGAGTACACGGACAGCGCCACCAGCGCTGGGACACAGGCTGTCCTGGAGCAGCTACACCGGACAGGTGGTGCACAGCGGAAGGCCATGCAGGTGTGCATTGTAGGTGGTAACAATGTGAAATAATAGTACATACGCGATTTTTGCACGCTTCCTTCACGCGCCGCCTTATAAGCTGTGAACTGTAAACGATAGCCGCCAATGCAAACACAAAAGGGCTGGCCTTGGCGATAACCGTCCCGCGTGTGCATTGCTTTCATGTCTGGAGCATCACTGACGTCCAAGTCAACTTCATCGAAAAACTCGACAATCCAGTCAATGAGCCCCCTCGCACGACCGCCACGTTCACACTGCACTCGTTCATCAAAAGTTAAATGAGCAAATTAGGCCAGTGACGGAGCCCAACAACCATTCCCAGCATTCTCGGGGAAACGACGTCGCGGATCGCAACCACGAGCCGCGCGGATCATGGCCAACGGTGACGGGCAGCATGCATACCGATATCGAGTAAAACTAATGGAGAAAGGTAAGTAATAACAAAGCCAGCAGCCACCGTTCCAAGGCTTGCCTGATGGCACGGGGGGGAGGGGGGGGGGGGGAAGTCAGGAGTCGCTGTCACTAATCGCCGACGCGCCAGAGCAAAACAATCGTCGCCGGCCCCAGGAGCTGGCACGTCAGTTAGCGGGCACAGCCGCGCGGCCCTCTGGCAATCTGCCCGCCCGCCAGGTGGCAGCCCGATCGGCGGCAGCGGGATGGACACGGCCGCAATGGGCACCGGGCGTCAGGGCGGCCCACGCAGCCGGCGAAAATCGGCTGATGCCGCCCAGATGTGGTGGCTATTGTGCGCAACTGGTGCACACTGCCGAAGGCTTGTCGTTTGGCAAGAAAGATGCATGATCGATAGATGGATATCTTGGCACGTCGATACTGATATGTCGATAGATTCACATACTTGTCTTAAACAAGACTATGACGCACTGAAGTCGACGGGAGTTGTAACTCATAGAATGCAAACTGTCATGTCAACCGTGTCACGTAACCGCAACCGACCGCAACTCATCTGACGCGCCTTGGGCAGCTGCGATATCTTCATAGCAAGAGAACGAAAGCAGCCGACAACAGTCACAACGTAACACCTTCAACCCATAAGAAATCGTTAAAATGTCTTACAGACATCATCATACCATCCGAATATGCCTATTAACGCACGCAACCGCTACCTTACTCGCAGGGCCACTGCAGTGTCCCGACTTACGCCACTTCCTTCGCCGCCATGGCTCACCCGGTGGCGCTGCGGGGTTCGGCCGTGCGCCCGAGTGGTTCGAGTCGGGGGTGGGGGTGTGGGGAGGGGGGAGGGGCTGGACGAGTCTGGCCCGCCGCGAGCGCGGCCACGGTCAGTCCGTCGGCGGGCCGCGTCGCTCGCATTCGTGTTGCCGCCGACCATGGGTACAGAGCAGCCGCGCGCGCTGGCCTCCCGCCTGGCCGGCGCCGGCGTGTTGGTCGCCTGCTTCTGCGTGTCCCTGGCGCTCGGCAGCTGCTTCAGCATCGGCAACCTCACCACGTACGTGACGTCGTACCTGCGCACGAGCGCCGGCCAGCGGGTGGACTACGCCGACACCATGTGGCTGGATTCGGTGCTGCGTGTCACCATGGGGCCGTTGTACGCCGTCGGCGGCCTGCTGCACACCCGGTTCGGAGCGCGGCTCACCACGGCGCTGGGCGGCGCGCTGCTTCTGCTGGGCACCTCGCTCTCGTCGGTGGCCGTGCGCGTGTCGCTGCCCTGGCTGATTGCCGCCTACAGCCTGCTGCAGGGCGCCGGCATCGGCGTGGCGCTGGCTAGCGTCAGCCTCACCTGCGTCGCCTGGTTCCCGCACCGCAGCGGGCTGGCGCTGGGCGTCAACATGGGCGGATTCGCGCTGGGCCCGGTCGTCTTCAACTGGGTGCAGACGGGCTACATCAACCCGGGGGACGCGGCGCCCGGTGCCAACGGCTACTTCCAGCAGACGGACGTGCTGCGCCGCGTGCCGTCGCTCTTCCTGCTGCAGGCGGTGGTGCAGGCGGCGCTGCTGTCGCCGGCGCTGCTGCTGCTGCGGCACTCGCCGGACGGCCACGGCGATACGACGGTCGAGAAGGCGCCCGATGGCCAGCCGGCGACGGTCGAGAAGACGCCCGACGGTCCACCGCCGACGGTCGAGAAGGCGCCCAGCGGCCCGCCGCCGCCGGCGCCAGCCTCGCTCAGTGTGGCCGCCGCGCTGCGCACTCGCCGTTTCTACCAGCTGTTGGTTGGCTACGTGCCCACCATGGTGGCTTTCGAGTTCTTCCAGGTGGCGTGGAAAACGTTCGGCCAGACGTTCATCGGCGAGGACCGCTTCCTGACGATGGTCGGCAGCGTGTCGCCGCTGTTCGCGCTGCTCGGCAACCTCGGCTGGGGTCAACTGGGCGACGTCACGACCTTCCGCTCGGTGCTGGTCGTCGCCAACGGCTGCATGGCGATCCTGTTCTGCACGCTGGCGGCCACGCCGCACATGGGCGCCGCCGGCTACTGCGTCTGGGTGTGGGCGCTGTCCGCCAGCTTCCCGGCCATGTTCGCCTGCGAGCTGCCGCTGATCACGGCCGAGCTCGGCGCCGCCAACGCCGGTGTGCTGCTCGGCCTGATGAACGCCGTGCGCGCCCTCTGCACGCCCGTGACACCGCTGCTGGCGCGGCTGCTGCTGCTCCGCCGCCACGGCTACCCCATCCTGTTCCTGGTGCAGGGCACCTTCGCGCTGCTCGGCATGAGCAGTCTGATCTCAATGTGGCCGGCGGACACGGGCGGCGAGCCGGGCAGCGGCGGCGGCGGGGGTGGTGATGAGGAGGGACGCCGAGCGCAGGCCGGGAGAGACAAGTCTGTCACCGGCGGCGAGGAGGGACGACGCGCGCAGGTCAGCAGTGATACGTCTGACATCGGCGGCGGGGAACGACATCGCGCGCAGACCAGCAGTGATATGTCTGACGCCGGTAGCCAGGTCGCACCGGAGGCCAAGCCAGGTCAGGTCTGACGCCGGCGGCCAGGTCAGGTCTGACGCCGGCGGCCAGGCCAGATCAGGTCTGACGCCGGCGGCCAGTTCAGGTCTGATGCCGGCGACCAGGCCAGATCAGGTCTGACGCCGGCGGCCAGTTCAGGCCAGGTCTGACGTCGGTGGCCAGATCCGGTCAGGTCTGACGCCGGCGGCCAGGTCTCGCCGGCCACCGAGGCCGCGTCGCCCTGGAGGCGCCGTCACACTCGAAGGGCCCGCCGGGGGGCCAGAAACCGGCCGACGGCGGCGGGGCGGACCAACCTACCCGACGGGAGGAGCGGACCAAGTGTGGACCGTCACAGAGGCATTCCTCCGCGCACGACGACGGGGCAGACCCCGACGGCGCGGCGAAAAGGCTCCGCGAGAAGCACGACGTGATTAAAAGAGCAGCGCTGTGCGCCGCGCACATCGAGTGTATCATTGCGGGGACTGGAAAATACACGGTATAAGGAATGCGAGCTCGCATGGTCGCGTGGAAGTGTTAAATTTGTCAGCCACCGGACGAGACCCTCGGTGGCACAGCAACACGACTCGCGCATTACTGCCCCAGCGCAGAAGTACAGGGAGTCGCGCATTACTGCCCCGGTGTAGTAGCACAGGGGGTCGCGTGTTACTGTCCCGATGTGGAAGCGCAGGCAGTCGAGCATTATTGCCCCAGTGTAGTAATGCAGGGAGTCGCGCATTACTGCCCCGGTGTAGTAGTGCAGGGAGTCGCGCATTACTGCCCCGGTGTCAGTGCAGTAGCCCAGGTAGTCGCGTATTATTACATTCGTGGCACAATTCATCAGGAAAATGACGGAGACTCTAGGTCCTATAGCACAGGGAGCTATACGTTCCTGGATTACAAACACAAGCCATTCATTCCGAGTGCGAGGAACGAATTTAAAGGGAATTTTCGCGACTGGTCGTCGCCCCTCCCCCTCCCTTAATTGGTTGTTTTACCATTAATTAGGTTAGTTAACACGACCAAGTAAAGCAATGCTGTCTGAACCTTTTCAGGTCCATTTTGTTGTGAAAATGGATCCAACTATGATTTACCTCGTACCAAACAGCAACACTCAATTAACATTCACTATGTGTATCCTTACTCCCTATTGTTGTCGGTCCAGAGAAGTGCTTCACACAGCAATTGTAATTGGGCAACACAATGAAATGAGACCATTGAACTCACATTGCTTTACTTGTGAAAAGCACTCCATGCTAGGGGAAGGCAATTCATATCACTGCCCTTGTTGTTGGTTACTGTAGCACATAGTTTGACTCATTGCATATGGTACATGGCAGTACAAGAGGCAACATCCTATTCGAGTCAGCATCGACATGTCGGTGCTGCCCCGATGGACGGCACATTTTTGGACTCATTACATTTTCATGGCATTATTTCGCTACATCGCAATCCCCCGCTGGGCACTTCTGCAATAAAATCAAAACTCAAGGCAGCTTTCCTCACATTGTTTCCCGACAGACTGATCAACAGGATCTGTTTTTACCGCCCAAAACAACGTCACGCGCTGGCCTAGTTTACGACGCCCCGCGCCTCGCCTCGACTCTCCAGCTCGGGGGCGGCCCCTACAACTGACCGCTTCTGTCGCTCCAGCTGCTGGACACGCCGCTCGGCCTGGCTCTCCTCCAGCCTGCTCTGGTTCTTGTACTGGGAGCGCCTCTCGGTGAGGTCGGCGCCGACGCCGGCGTCCGAGGCTCCAGTCTCGGGGTCCACCACCAGCCGCTCCGATAGCTGGGCCGCCACGGCGTCCATGGCGGCCGGCGGGGGTCGGGCCGGGCCGGCGTCAGCCACGACCTCAGGGTGGCGCCGGCCGGCCAACTGTCGGAAGCAACACACGCACGCGCCGGGTCAGGCGTCAGAGAGGGTCAAGGGGGGCCCGGCTGGTCCGCGGACGCCGGCCGCGCCGCTGAGCTCCACCGAAACGGGTGGAAACGGACGGAAACGGACGGACGGACGGACGGACGGACGGACGGACGGACGGACGGACGGACGGATGGACGGACGGACCTAGGTGGTGCAATGATTCCAAGAACCAGGTGGCTGAGACAACATGCCAAAATGCTTACGGATGTGAATCAAGGACAGATGGCGTTACAGACTACAATGGGCTCTGGGCCAAAGAGCATCCCCTGGGCAATAAGGTGCAAAGGGAAACACATTGTCACTATAACAGTATGTGCCTACAGGCACATGCTGCCAGCCAGCAGCAAGATGAGGCAATTTGTTGAACAGCAAGTAGATGTGACAACTATCAATTTGCTTTTTTGTGATTTATTTTTGTTGTACAGAAATGCAACACATGCCAATGTAAACCCTGTTATAGTGTGCCAGCAACTGTGGCAGTCATGTTGGTATTAATGTGTTATGGCATAACAGGGGTTCAATCCAGGGTGCCCCATATGAGACACAAATGTGCCAACCAATCTGCTGTTACAACCCCCATTCTCCCCACTAAATAGCTTCAGCAGCAAAGTGGCAAGGGATCAGTGCAGCTGTTAACATCTGAACACAGAAATGTGAGGCGCTGGGGCAATGAGGAGCAGGACCTTGAATAGAAATCCACAGAATACCCCCAGCTTTATCTGTTAATTGTTTTACTCAGCGGCATTTGAGCCATCAAGTTCATGAGATCCAGACAATCACTGTCACTGATAGGGCAACTGATAGGGCACTGCAGCTCATCTGGCATGACAAAACTTGGGGTTTTATGAGTTGAGCCCCTGCCTCCTATATTGTGACAGTTGTTCAACCAATGAAATACAAACAACTTAGCTTTTTATACTTTTCTTCAGTTGGACATCACATGCATCAATAAGATGAGATATGTAAAAGTGTAGGCATTTTCCCACCAGCATTGTTGTGCATGTAATGTTTTGCTGCCACACCCTAGCTTTGAGAACATTTGTTGCAAGAATAAGCAAATCCAGCAACAGCCCAGTCCCAAAAGACATCACGACACCAGGAAATAGCAAGTCAAGATGAGCCAATGTGGTTTACAAATTCAAGCTTATCACAAATTGACTTGGTAACTCAATTTACATTGGTATAACAGCAATCTCCCTTCAGAAGAATGAACATGCATATCCATAAAGGTGCACACTGCACCCTTGCACCAATGAAGTGCATGGGAAAAGGCCTTTGAAGTGACCAAACACAATACCTTGATAATCTAGTTCCATAGAAAATTATGCCTACTGATTCTTAGGGTCATGATTGTCTGGGAAAGGCAGTACAAGCTCAATCACCAATTCAAGTCCTGCATCACTCCAGGCCTCTAGCCATGGTAGGCACAGTGATCAAATATATTGAGAAGGGAGGAGACACCTTGGCAGCTTGTGTCTCAGATCAGGAAATTGATGGTGTTATTCACTGACCTTACATTGTAGGTAAACAAACTTCAAAGTCATTTACTTATCCCTGACAATAATACTGAACTTCTAAGATCAAAATATCACATTTCACTTTGATGACAGATGAGCTTTTGAAAGCTTTACTCACTTTAAAATCACTTACCTCTGACAATAACACTGAACTTCTAAGACCAAAACATCAAATTTTGCTTTGAAGATAGATCAGCTTTTGAGAGCTTCACTTAATCTACTCAGAGTGGCCACAAATACCAGAAGACTCGAGCATCCTCATGAAAGTTGACAATGTGCAGTTCCACTTTACCTTAGCATGTAAAACAACTATCTTGGTGACAGGCTTTTGTTTAGTTTGACTGCTTGTCAGCAGATACCATCCTATACATACTTTGGCCAGAACCTCATGTGAGTTTCAATGATACCATATCAGTTATATTGCCATAATAGTCTGCCCCACTGTCAAGTTTGATAACAAACTTCAATCCCGCAGACATTAATGTTGTAACCCCTAAAGCTGTTGCTAACACACACAAGTATGGGGATAATAGGAGCAACAGGGCAGTATGGTAATACTAGGACCTCAGGAAATAGGGGCAATAGCGTTAGATAGCCTTGGGTAATAGCAAGGACTTGTGGAAATGTCCGGGTCCTGTGTGCGTCCTGAGTCATATGAGCGTATATATGCGTCACTGACGCAGGCACTGGAACTCCTGAAACATCCTGAAGCGATAAAACTAAGTGCGCTAAAATGCAACATTGATACCAGTAGATGCACCAGACATTGCCCACGACATCTAGCCTGTGGATCTAATGTCATATTCCATAATATAACGTTCCCCCACATCTCTCGACTTCCACCTACAGCGCCCGCGCGATCACGCCTCCTGCACGAGGCGACGAACAAATTACCGGCATGGTCGTCAGCTGAATACGCGAAGATGTTGAATACTGCTATATATAACGTGCAGCTGATCGCACAATGATGTCACAAAACCACAGGCTGCCAACGTGGTAATATCTGCATGTGCGCCTTATGAGGCCTGGTAATATCTGCCCCACTAGTCCATGGTGACACCGAGGCGCCTTCCGTCATGCGTATGGCAACCAACAGGCGGGTGGTGACCGAAAGGAACCGAACAGTACAGAACGGGAGTGCATAGAACCAGACGGAACAGACACTGGGACGGTCGGACTGGAGCCAGATGGGAGGTCGTGAAGCAAGATATAACCGAACGGGATCCCTCCAAACCAAACCAGATGGGACCGAGCGGAACCAGGGCGGGAAGCGGAAGGAACCTAACCGAGCCGGACAGGATCGTACGGCATCAAACATAACCTAAAGGAACCGGGTGGGACAGAACGGAACCATTAGGAAAAGGACAGAAACGAACAGGACCGGACGGGCCCAGACCAAACCAAACGGGACCAGACGCTGGCTCCGGATGGGACCGGATGGGACCGGATGGGACCGGATAAATTCGCACAAAATCTTATGGAGCCAGGTGAGACCGGACAGGACTGGGCGGAACCGGATCGCACCGAGCGTGACGGGACTAAATTGGATGCAACAGAACTGCACTAGACTGGACCGGGCCGAACCGGACCGGACCGGACCGGACCGGACCGGGCCGGACCGAACCGGACCAGATCGGAACAGACTGGACCGGACCGGGTCAGATGGGATTAGAAGAATCGGGTAGTAACCGGACGTGATCGAACGGAATCGGGCACAACAGAACTGAACCAGACGGAAAGGATAGGATGTGATGTCAGACGGGGCCGGATGGAACCAGATGGAACTAGATGAGACTGTGCGGTACGCGATGGAGCTGGACGACACCTGATGGGATCAGATTGGGCCGTACGAGACCTGGGATCGGGTGGGGCTGCACGGACTCCGACGGGATCAGACAAAAGCTGACGCAGTGAGATGGGATAGGACGGCGAAAGATGTTACCAAACGGGGCGAGACGGGACAGAACAGGACCTAACAGCACCAGAAAGGAACCGGGCGGGTTCACACATGGTCCGTCAGGTCCCTTTTGGTCTTGTTAAGTCCCACATGGTCCCATTTGCCCTCGTCTGGTTTCATCTGATAACGTCCAGCATTATTTGGTCCCACTCGGTCCCGTCTGGTTTTGTCTGGTTCCATTCGGGCTCGTTCAGTCATGTACAGCCCTTTAGAACCTCATCCAGTCCAGTCCAGTTCCATCCGGTTCCGTCCAGTCCCCTCCAGTTTCGCCTGGTCCCATTCCCATCGCGTCAGGTCCTGTGCGGCACCGTCCAGTCCTGTGTTACCTCATTCGGTTCGGATCGGTCTCTTCCGTTCTTTCCCAGTCCCGTCCGCGCTCATCACGCTCTACCTGGCGCTGTCCGGTCCCACGCAGTCCCGTTCCATGCCATCCGGTTTCCGTCGGACAGAATCGCACAGATTCCGTCCGGATTCCGTCGGTCAAGTCCAGTGGCATCCGATATCGTCTAACCTCTGCCGGTTTTGTTCGGTCACTTCCGGACCTATCTGGTCCCATCCGGTCCGTCCAGTTCGTACGGTGCCGTCCGTAAAAGCACATGAAGCGAGATCAACCTACAAGGTCATGACTAAGGTCAAAGAACAGGGTAGCCTCTCACTGCCGCGCAAGGGGACCGATCTATACAACTGTATCGTCATTTGAAAGTCACGTGTCCATCACGGTCTGGGATCCCCAAAACACGTAAATGAGGTACAGTACTTAAGTTCACATACGAAGTAAAGGGCGTTTTCAGTTGCCAGACCCAAAGCAATTGGTCTTGAGGGGTGGCATTTTGATAGTTCAGGTACCAATGGATGTTAAGCTTTCTCATGAGACCTAATTTGTTTAGATCAATCCCACAGAGCGGTAGTGCGGCACTACCCCATCCCCTGAACTTGGAAGCAGCCTTGAATGTTGACCTTGATTCACGCGTTTGCGAGAGTCCTGGTTGGATGAACGGCCGGTTTTGAGAGAACGCCTTATTTATTAGCCTCAGTTCCTTGCAGTGGCAGTATGGCGCCACCCCGTCCTTTGACCTTCAGATTATGTGTTTTGAGGTCTCGCCAGAAACATTTGACCATGAAGGGTGGCGTTTTGATTGGCCAGACCGGAATACGCTCTCGCCTTTCAATGACTCCGTATTTGCACAGATCGGTTCCGTACGGCGGCGGTGCGGCGCTATCCCGTCCTTTATCTTTGAATGTGACCCTGAAAATTGAACTTTATTTGCATGTGCTTGGAAGCCCGTGCTGGAATGGACGACTCGCTTTCAAATGACACCTGAATTGAATAGATCGGTCCAATACAGCGGCAGTGCGGCGGTGCCCCGTCTGTCGACCTGCGATATGACCCTGAAAATTACAATAGGAAGGTGCTCTTTGCTATCGCAAGTCAGAATGTGTTCCTGGATTCCATATGGAGCGGTTTTTTCAGTAACTCTTATGCAATGTTGCTTGTGCTTTCATGTAGCGCTGTTACCGGCTGACTTGGTTTCCGGACCTCTGGAAGTCAAGCCGGAGACGGAGTTAAACGGATCGCGTTCTCCTAATAAGTGGGTGTCGTCTGACCGAAGTCCACGTGAATGTCGTTTGGCCTACGGACGGATTTAATGCGGAGTTGGAACTCGACGCTGAATTCAAATACGGATAGGTTGTTAACTCAGCAGGCGCGCTTGGGGCCTCTCGAATGCCCGGGGGCGAGGCCGGGCTCTTGATGGTATCTGAGATGATGTGCTGCCTGAGCTTCTGGACGTAGTCATACGAGAAAAGACAAAACTATAAAAGCCCCAACAATTTCAAACCACCGTCACAGAGTGCGCATTCCTTTCAGCGAGTAGGTTAGGGTATGTGCACGCACTGGCGTAAAAAGTAAGCTAACGGTCGTACACACTGACATGCTCCGCCTAGATATATGCGGCCGTATTGTTGCGCTAGGGCATGGACTAGCGTTCAGAGTGTCCGTCGGTGTTCACTTCGCTGCGCGTTTGCAACTTCGATGTGATAGTGACAGACACAAATGTACAGATACAAATGTAGCGACGTCCTGCTCATCCTCGCTTCTGACAAAACATAGGAGACGGATGATCAGCTGCAGTGAACGGGAGACACCAGGCTTACACTGCAAGTTTGTTTCTCAGGATGCGCGCTCGTAGTTCGCCATTGTGAACTCGTTGAACTTGATACTCGCGCAGGATTTGACTGTTGTTTGTTCGTTTTACAAGCGGTGGCAACAAACGCGGGTTTCTGTACGTGGTAAATTATCAAAACTTTATTCGATGACTAGTTATGTACATGTCATTTCATACAAACTGCGACAGGAGTGGGTCCTGGTCACATGTTCCGAGATAGCGGGGCCCGGTGGATGTACAGGGGAGTCTGCCCGGGGCAGCGGGCAGCGCGGGGAGCCGAGTGCGCCAGCAGACGGGTGTCGGACCGGAGCGACCGAGCCGTGTGAGTCGGGGCAGCGCCGCCGGCGGAGGCCGCCACTCGCTCCCCCGCCTCCCGTGCTCGGCGGCCGGCGTCGGTCTTCTGCTGGTCGACCGCCGCCTATCAGCCGGCGCCACTCAAACACTGGGCTGGTATCTTACAATATATCCAGGGACGGATAGAAACGCAGAACATATGACGGCGTAAAAAGAATGCCAGCGCACTTTGCATCGCATTAGTAAAAGGAGACGGGCAGCCTGCCAGCAGAGTGGCGTGAGTAGGCCCAAGCAAGCAGGGCCGGGCCCGGGCATACGCCGGGCGCCAAAAGTATGACGCAACTGCCTCTCGAGACTACCAGTACACAGCACCGGTCCAGGTCATAGGTAACACGCCGGTACCATGGACATATCTGCGCGCAAACTGAGGCAGTCTTCATGCGTCAACTACGGTAATAATATAGGTTCAAAGGCAACTTTCCAACACGGCGTTTCATACGTGAAGCGGGTGTCATAAATCATTTCGCAAGCGTTAACGAGCATGTCTTAACGGATATCGTGGAATACGTTCAAACAATGCTGGCAAACGAACAGGTTCAGCTAGATACGGTGCCCATGTAAACGAGGAACACATGGAGAAAATGAATAACGATAACAGTGTAATATCATCTACAAATCACAGTAAGTTTGATCCTTATCGCCACGAGATACAATGGAACAAATAGATAATTGTTGACAATGTGCATGCACAGCGGAAGGGTTCAAGCCTGCGGGGCATGGGACGGGTGAAAGCGGCTTTGTCAGACATGTAAAGCCATGTTCATAGTGTCGCTCAGCGTTCACTCCGTAACGACAATGTAAGCCGTGCAGACATCTAGTAGCCTTATGGATTCATTTCGAGAGGCGGCACGCCACGCGGGAGCGAGGTGCCCCGCCGCCGGCGGGGGAAGGGGCGCCGGTCGAGGCCCGCGCCGGCTGCCGAGAGCGCCAGCTGCGCGGGGGGCCGGCCGGCCGCGTCGGCGGCGGCTCCTCTGGGGAAGCGGCGAGCCGCCGCCGGCGCGCCGCCGCCTGGCAGGGTCCGGGGGCCTCGAACGTTATTGCTTCACACAGTGGGAGGTGCTGGGCGCCGGCCCGCCGGTGGGTCGGTAGGCGACAGGTGAGCCCCGCCTCAGCCAGAGGCGCGACGGCCAGCGCGTCGGGGGCGAGCGGCCAGATGCAGGGGATGAGAACAGGGAGAAATCCGCACCGCGCAGCTGAATATCTAGTTGAAGCGGACCTCGCACGACAAACTGGGACTGTTCAAAGGTTAGATACACGTACACGAGCGCGCGCTCCCGTGGCGCGGGTCGTGGGACACCCGAGGGGTGCAGGGGCGGGGGCGCCGCGGCCCCGCCGGCTCCGGCTGCCACCCCTTGCCTGCCCACTCCGACTGTGAGTAAGGGCGTGTGAGTGAGTGTGTCGGTGGGTGGTGGGTGTCCGGTGGGGTGAGATGGATAGATAGATAGATAGATAGAGAGCTCAGATAAAACATACAATCTCAGAGCGTATCGTTTTCCGCCGACTTACTTACGTAACTAGGACCGTTAGCGAGAAAAAGCCACACGCGTGCACTTGCTCCCATTCACTCGCGAGGTGCCGCGGCGGCCGCCGGACCGCCGCCCTCTCTAATACTGGCAGGCTGGCGTGGCGGGGCGGGGGGCCGCGCTGCCGGCTCGGGGAAGCGGCGGCGGCAGCTCGGCCCGGCCGGGGAAGGCCACGCCACGCCCTCAAGGCATGAAGGTGAAAACAGAAACAAGGAGCGTCGGCGCCCGACGCGGCTGGGGCGCCGGCGCAGGCTACCGCGCGCGGCGGCCGGCGCCGCGCCCGGCGAGCGTGGGTCAGGACGAGGACGATCGGGGCGGCACGCGCGGCTCGCAGGCCGCCGGCCGGCCAGTCGCACACGACAGGGCGCACAAAAGACCGAACAGCACTGAAACGGAACCAACCGATCTTGCACCGCACGTTTTCCCAACAATCGTAAGCTTGAGCTTCTATAAATACTCGCTTATATGCGCGCGCGCGGAAAGCCTGACGACCACCGCTGAATCAATATAAAAATACGGCGTTATATATTATATATTGGGTGCGCAGCTACGTAAGCCTGTGTGAGGTGAGTCAGTTCGCGGCGTCGCGGCACGTTCGTCGGGTCAGACATCCGTCGACCGCGACGTGACGCTTGGCGAGCGCGAGTGCAGCACCACCTTGTGGCCGTTCTTGGAAACGTCCACCAGCACGGCCGTCTGCTGGTGCTGCGACGGTTCGGCGCGGCCACGGTGCTTGCGCCACGCCTTCTGGATCAGCGAGGCGCAGAACTCCTCGCGCTTGCGCCAGAGCGTGGACGAGATAGGCTTGTAGCCGGGACGGTCCGTCTGCGCCGTCACCTCGCCCAGCTCGGCCGTCTCCGTCACCGGGTTGCCCTTGCGGGCGAAGAAGTCTTTGGTGAGTGCGTCCAGGATGTCGACGCAGTAGACCTTGTCGCCCTGGCAGATCGGGATGTCCATGGTGATGATTTTGTACTTGTTGGGCTTGTGGATCTGAAGCGGCGGCTCGAGCGCGTCCAGGAAGTCGGAGAGCTGGTCGTAGGCGATGTACTGAGTGCCCTTGGGGTCGAACCGCTGCCAGATCTCGTAGTACATGTCGTAGTCGTCGCCCGTCAGGCCCTCCTGCACATCCTCGTTGGCCTGCGAGTAGTTCTCGAGGATCACAGCAATGTACATGTTTATCACGATAAGGAAGGATATCACGAGATAGGCTAGCAGGTAGGCGATGCCAATCGAAGCCTGGCCGCAGTTGCCCGGGTCGCCCGTCTCCGGATTGGGCCCATTGCAGTCTTTTTCGTTTATGATGCCAGTGAGCACGCTGGCCCAGCCGGCCGATGTCATCATCTGGAACAACAGGATGAAGGACTTGCCGAACGTCTGGAAGTTGAATGTGTCGTCCAAGCCGCCCATGGGGACCTTGACGTTCATGAAGAAGCTCATGCCGAAGATGGCGAAGATGAAGATCACCAGAAAGAGTAGCAGGATGATGTTGAAAAGTGCCGGCGCGGACATGGCGAAGGCGAAGAGTAACGTTCGGATGCCCTTAGCGCTTTTGATGAGTCGCAGAACGCGGGTGACTTTGGCCACGCGCACTACTCGCAGTAGCGTTGGTGACACGTTGAACATCTGTGTGAAGATGTCTTTCAGCACAAGCCCTGAAAAGGACACGCATTTTAAGGAATACGTAGTCAACCGGTGACCGAAAACACATAAATATATATATATATATATATATATATATATATATATATATATACATATGTCGTCGCTCACAGACAACTGTACCCTTCTTCCTACAAGCGGCCTCTCAGAGCACCCTTACGCTCTTTCCGAAATAGCTTCCGAACAGCTTTCAGCACAGTGCTGAAAAAGTTGCTAAGTTTGTGTCCTTTTGACGCATATTGTGGGGAGTATAAGCTTTTGACCCTGACAGGTCGTGACGTAAAACTGTTTTGTTTAGGTCATGTCGGTGTCATTTTCCTCACAATGGACAAATGATGTTTATCTCATGCAAAAATGCACTTCAAAGATGTTTTCCTGGCTATTTCCTCATCTTCATTAACGTGAAAGGCATTAATATTCCTCTGGTGACTTTTAAATAGCCAGGTAATCCAAAGTAAAGCTAGTTCAAACTTTAACCTTTTTGGCTAGAGCTGACCCTTCAAAGGTCATTCCATTTCACATTTTCAAATCACATTTGGGAGACGTTGCAAACGCTGTTTCCCCCATAGATGTGGCCTGTGTAGTCATTGATACAGCAACACGGCCCACAGCAACAAAAGCCTTCATCCTTTGACCTGAAATGATTTATCCTAGATCGCATGAGTCGATATCCACTAGTACTTCACGCGATGAGTTTTCCAAGATCTCTTAAACGCCGTCTTTGACATCGTTCCAGCATGCTAATTTATAGAAAGAAGAAGAAGAGGTTTATGAAGTGCTAATCTAAAAACACGACCCCATTCGACCTTCCGAAGGTCACATTCATCATTGTTAGGTCACACCTATCTGATGAAGTTTGACAAGAGCTGTCACATGCCATTTTCTCCGTGGCTCTAACTTGCTTAATGCTCGGGAACTTATGGGGAGGTCCCTGACGCTCCGCTTATACGGTGAGGGGCAGAAAATATTTGGTAAGGCGAGAGCTAAAGAAAAGACGCCGCGCCAGCTTCATAGCACTTGGCAGCGGATGGCAATCTCGTCAGGCGAAGCGAAGTTATTATGCACGAATGAGTATCGCGTTCCACGGACCTGTTTTTCAACAGTTCATTCTTTGTTGCAAAGCTGCTTTGCACGAGGTATAGATAGAAGATAGCCGCGGAACAGCCCAGCCGCTGCAGTCTAGGCAATAGCATGGAGAAGGGCACCAGTTACCCTGCTCCGCCTTTAAACTGACACTGTACGGATGAAAAACAGCATGTCTGGGCGGCGAGTTGATTTGCTGACAAGATTCGCGTGACTTCGGTTACGCACCATTATGTGAGCATTTAGGTGTCTACGCGCACTCGATCGTCAACCAAAATGTACTAGGTTCCAGCACTCATAGAAGAGAGAAGAAGAGTAGGTCGAAACACTTTGCCCATGCTTTTACCCAGGATGGAGAGTGTGACGACGATGAAGTCGAATAGATTCCATGGTTCCTTGAAGTAATGCCAGCGGAAGGCGAAGATCTTGAGGACGCACTCAGCCGTAAATATGACGATGAACACCAGGTTGACGTTCTCCAGGATCAGCGTACGCTCCTTCGACATGCCGTATTCGTCCAGCATCATCGTCACCATGTTCAGGCAGATGAAGGCCATGATGGCCATGTCGAACTTGCGGTTGGAGCAGATGTCGTACGCGATGGCTTGCAGTTTGAACTGGGGAGATCCGGGCGTGGGTCAGTCGTGAACCCGCTTGCTATCACAGCAAGAGCGCCCGCTGCTCATGCAGCGGGCGCTCTTGTGCACGTGCACGCCTTGTACCGGGCGGTGGGACATCCTGGCATTCCACCCCAGAGAAATTAACCCAAGAATTCACTCTCATGGTCGGGGAATCGGACGTAAAAATAAACTGGCATTGTTACGCAAGCAATGTACTCGAGCTTTGCCTAAGGTTTTAGGCGACGTCCCTTGAAACGGCAGTCCTTACACTGAGGATTATGATCATCAGCTGTGTCCAATGGCGTGCACATAAATATGCACAGAGACTTAAGCAGGCGGTCGGGAAGAGAACACTGTGGACATATGGTGCCCACCCACGCACGATCAAACCCGGCACGTCACAGTGTTGTTCCCTGGCATTATTCTATCAACGTTCAGCAGCAAGACGCGTGGCGGCGTACGCGCACCTCGCTGTTTTCGTGGCAAAAAAATGAACTTTATTTTTATCGTGCCTGGTATTGTCGCGTTTGGAGTAACCGTTTGTGACTGTTAGCATTTTAGTGCCGTTTAAGCGACCCCAAACACACGCGGCGAGTCAGTCGAAGTGCCAGCTCGTCGCCACGCGCTGCGCCGCTGCGTAGTCAAGGAAGAACGCCCACCGGCAGGCGAGCGAGACAAGCATGCTGTCCCAAAAGCTGAGCACCCGGCGAGCACAACCGTGACGACCTACGGTATCGGGAGCAACGAAAGTTTGCACACTACAGGGTATACGCAGCGATTCATGGCCAACGAATGCATTCGGTTGTCAAAATGTGACGGTGAAAAATCGAGCGACGCGACCTTACTGTCCGCGAAACTCAAGACAGGACTAAATCACGGTTTTGAACGGATGGCAAAGCATTCGTTGGACATCACACATACCACCGCGGTCTGGGTGCACATCAATAAATCAGAAGAAAAGGGGATCCACTGTCGGGAGGACAAGGGGATGCCCGAAGAGTCCAGGCGGTGCGTCCCGCCCGTCGTGCCGTCTTGTGGTGCCCAGGAGTGCTTTAGGACCGGGCGGCCGCGTGTCTTGACCCCAGACAACCCTCCTGGCGCTAGGGCGTGTGCTGGCCCGGCGGAGTCAGGCCGCCAGCTGACTGCGGTGTCGCAGACGTGGACCCCGGAATCCTGGGCAGGGCGGGGGCGCGGGGGGAGCATCGGTCCAGGGCGCAACCTGGTGACCAGTTCGGGACGCCACATGGTGACCGGTGGAGCGACCACCTGCTAAGTGCTAACCCGTGGAGACCAACACCATTTGACAAGTGGGGAGCACCGCCACCTGCTGACCAGGAGGCAACACCACCTAGTTATCAGTGGTGGGTGCTAAAGCGGCTTTGTATCCAGTCTCACAGCAACGTAAAGCACCCCACTGTGCCGGTTCATGGCCTGGTTTTGCCCCCAGGGGGTCATCTTACCCCAGCCCCCTCCCCTCCCTGCAGCGGCGGGCATGGGGTCATCGGCGGCACCGCGACGGTCGGTGTCGACGGGACGCTGTTGGACGGACGCCCCAGCAGGCGATGCCAAACTAACCGAGCTACCATGCAGTCGGGCCGCCGGTCTCCGGCGCGGCCTCAGTGACGGCGAGCCACCGACGGTGACGATCAGAGGTAAAACAACTACGGTATAGCTAGTAACTGGTGCGGCCGACACCAGGCGCCGCCACTGTGCTCCCCGGGGTGGAATGGGGCGGAGGGACTCCTAGGGGGCGCGGTCGGATCAGGAGCCGGCAGAGATCGGGAGACGCTCAACAGACCAAATTTAGACGCAGTTCGTGGCAATGGCGGGTTAATATTGCCCTTTGATCGCTAAGGGAGCATAAGGCAGCGATTGGCTGTCAACCGCTTTGGCGGTTGTCAGGTGTAGACTCGAACATGAGCTGCGAGCTAAAGCTTTGTAATTTCGAACCTCCGTTTTTGGGTGCTGTAAAAATCGCATTACTCCACGTACAAGATATAGAATGAAGTAGACTCCTAGCACATAAAGATGGGAACAGCTTCAGGAAACAGTGTCTAAAGGAGACACAAAGTAAGAGAGCAGTTAATGAGAGATAATGTAGTTAATTTGAGTAAGCAACGAGAGTAGCAGAAAGGGGAAAAATATGTCAAAGAAAGGGAGGGACAAGAAATAGAAGTATAGAGAGAGAGAGAGAGAGAGAGAGAGAGAGAGAGAGAGAGAGAGAGAGAGAGAGAGAGAGAGAGAGAGAGAGAGAGAGAGAGAGAGGGAGAGAGAGAGAGAGGGAGAGAGAGAGAGAGAGAGGGGAAGAGAAAGCAAGAACAGAAGAAACAAAGATAACTAGTGAAGAAAATGCACACAAATAAATAAATATAATTTCAGGTAAAGAGGAATCAATTATGGCAAAATAAACACACACACACATATATATATATATATATATATATATATATATATATATATATATATATATATATATATACAGTGAAGACGGTAGCCCGCCCACTCCAAAAAGGGGCAAGAGATATAGAGACTAACTATAACCAGAATTAGAGATGGAGATGGCGAGACAGAGATAGAAAGATGAGGGGACAGGAGATAAGATGTGAGGAGACACAGTAGAGCCGGAACCATGGTGGGCTGACGGGCGCGTCGATCTGCCAAACGTTGGTGGTTCTAGCAGGGTCCGCTTCTCAAGATGCAGAGTAAAGGTGACCCGACCCGACCCGGATTACCTTCGGCCGAGGGATGGCTTTCAAGGGTTTCTTTGACCCCATTTTCTTCATGGCGCTATAGTATTTCTTTTGGTCCTCCGTCATGAACATATCAAGAGAGCCGCCTGCGTGAACAGCACAATGTTCCTGTACACTGGCGGCGACACGCACACGGACAGACAGACGCACACCCACACACGGACCGGCAGCGGCGGCGACCTGACCTGCTGACCTCGGTCGGACAGGCGCGGGTCCGGGCAGGTCACCGCCACCGCCGGACCGGGCGGCTCCAGTGCCAGGCCATAATCACGGCTACTCTACCTGCGGCTTCGGAATGGCCTTTAAAGGCTTCTTATTGCCCATTTTTTTCATTGCATTGTAGTATTTCTTTTGGTCTTCTGTCATAAACATTTCTAGGGAACCTCCTGCGTAAAATGACAAGAAAACGGGTCATCATTTCTATCGATGAACACTAATACATCGGCACACAGAACGGTGAGACAGATGAACACGAGCAGGCCGTACCGCCGAGAGCTGCTCCACTAGCTAACAGCCAGTATGGCTCGGCAGCTACGACAACATGTGACATGCCCTGTGTTTGATTGGGCGTTTCTATAGGCCACGGTAAAAACGATAGCCATCTACAGTTGAGTGGAAAACGGAAACACCAATTGAAAACCCTGAACTGAAAGACATGCTAGTCCATGCACGGGTGATGGGAAGACGCAACAAAGTGAGAAGGTTAGTCAAACACAAAGAGGTGACGGATAAGTGGGAGATAATTATGTAAATAAATTGATTAAATTATCGCGGTACATAAACAAAAGTTGTGAAGGGGGAAAAAGGTTGTTTAGCAAAGTGTGCACTTTGCTACACAAAGGATTTCGTAATGAACGACGTGAACAGAACGTGGTTGACTGATCTTGTATAGGAGTGGAAACTCGAGCGTCAGGACCCCCTCCCCAATGCCGGCTATTCGGAACGGAAAGGGGATGGTGAGAAAGGAAGAGCAATCCCCTTGACGCGGTGCCGGCGGGTCTAAGAGCGAGAGGGCGCGCCAGCACAGCGCCAGAACCAGACAGTGCACCACACTCCCGACCACGACTGTGCCGAAACCGAATGTGCCTTCAGACGACCATACGTGGGTGCACCCGAGTGGGTACGAAAGCTACCACATGCGAAACGGTGCTGAGCGGCTGGGCGCGGCGGACCGGCGCCCCGGGGGACTCTCCGGCCGCCGACGCTGCGCTCGGTGCAGTGAGCAGGATGGATAGGCAGCATTGGCTGCGCGCGCGGCTGGAGGCGCCACCACCACAGCCGCAGCTCGGGCGTCGCGCCCGTCGGCACGTAGCGGGCACGGCGCGACTGCCCCTATCGAGGAGCGGCTGCCGCTATGGGGAGCGGCTGCCCCTACGGAGCGGAGCTTCTGTCGGGGAGCGACACGATATTTGATCGTGGCAGTGCAGGCCGAAAGGTTCAGGAAATATTGTTAGCCGCGTCAACAGCAATTTGGAGAAGTGCAGTACGCCAGTGTCAATTTCTTGCGGTATACTACACTGATGCAAAATATTTGTGCCGATCGTGAATGTCAGGGCTTTCCGCCAGAAACAAAGGTCGTGGGTCTTTTGCACGGCAGCTTGTGAAGATTAAATGCCCAGGCACTCTCTCCACTGGCGCCGGGAAGAAAGCCCGTCTTTCGATGGACTTGCCATCGCAAATAATTTCGGGAATGACGGGTGATTTATCAAACAGTTGCATCACACTAACTAGAAGGTTTGTCAGGTACCTCGGGGGTAATCATGTCGACCATAAATTACTCTTAGATCATGTATTTTTATATGTCCGTGCCAATGGGTATAAAGATATCGGTAATTGCAACTTTTAGTGGGTCAGACGACTAAAAGTGATCGTTTCTCAGCCTCAACACATTATCCTCTAATAACACAGCAAGCTTCGACTGTCACGAATCCCTGCCAGGTTCGGACCAGGATGAAACGGTCGTGAAGTCGAAAGTCGTTTGTAGCGTGTGCACGGCAACAGTGAGGTGGATGAGCGTTTGTTCAGCTGCCAGGAACGTATTTCAACCTGTATTGGAACAGATCAATTATGACGTCTCCGGATCATGCCACACTAAGAGAGCGAAACTGGAAAAGCATGCGGAGAAAACCATAGCGAGATTTTCCGTATACTCATTCTCGATAATCATCATTTTCCTTGCCGTACGGAGGAAAAATGACTGTTAAAATATTGCTAGCGTCCAGTCTTGGTGTAAGCACATACGCAGAATCAACGGAGCAGCAGCTGCTTTTGGGAGTTCGTTTTCAACGGTCAACAATGACAATACGTATGTCGGGAACTGAACCTCCAGGGACTAACTCAGGGTCAGTTGGCGGAATTTACGAGGACTGGATCAGGAAACTTCGCCGATATTTTGAATCAATGAACAGTGCAGCCAGCACTGACAAAATCAACGGTGAGATTTCTGGCGAATTACTTATCCTATACCTAAACATTTGCAACAAGGAAACGCGAGTATGTTTGATGGCTGTGCCTGGCCTGAAATTGTGGTGTTTTCCAGGCCAGGCCTCATCGGCATGACATGCGGAACCGGCTCGGCCTCGCAAACACAGTGTTTTGGGAGAACGGCTTGCTTCTCTCCGACTGCAGCCGCTCGTGCCACAGCTAACTCAGAACGTCCTCAGAACTCAGAACGACTCAGAACTCAGGACGTATCTGAGTTCATGATCCGCAGAAGGCTTTTCAGGTGCAAGCAAAGGTTTCTCTGGGCACTTCAGTCGTTTCAGGATGATGATGAGTGCCCGAGGCGGGCACGGCTCAGGGGGAGTCGATCCCGTGCGTCTGCCATTGTTGTTCTAAGGTGTGGTCTAGACATTCAAGCAGTGGAAAAGTGGCACAGAATATCAGCCGCGGTCACCACGACACGACCCAGTCCAACGCTCCGCACGGCGCTGGCAGTACAGGCAGGTGTGGTCCAGACTAGAGCGAGCACACGCACAAGACAAACGTACACGCACATGTGCGCAAACGCCGTCTACACTTTCACTAAGGTGCATAGGAACTTGTTGCATTTCACTCCTTTTGGTAACGCGCGACTTTTGACACGCAACCGCGCACGTATGCGATAAAAAATTGTGCAAACGGACAACGTACTAGTCGAATGGCAGCATGTCGATGTCAACATTTTGTTTTTTGTGATATTATTGCTCGGAAAATGTGTTGATAGGCTAACTGTTTAAGCATATGAAATGAAATGCTATGCTTGCCCTGTAAAATATGACACGGATGAAACGCGTTAAGAAGAATCAACCATCATAACAATTAAGTGTAATGAAACTACATTTCGTACAATCCTCCCAAATCTCATTTAATGCCAACCTTTGCAACACATGACGAGAACGTCGCGGGATCATAGAGTAGATACTTATCTTTTTCTTTTGCTCGTTGAAGTTATCGATGATAACACCGATGAAGAGATTGAGTGTAAAGAAGGCCCCGAAGATGATGAAGAACACGAAGTACAGATACATGTAGACGTTGTACTCGTAGTCCGGCTGGAATCCGGCCTGCGGGAAGCCACATGACACGCATTTTTAGTAATACTAGCCACCCGTAGAAAGAGGCCAGAATGTCATCAGCGATTTAAACCCATTAATGCACGAATAAGCGGTGTTCACTTATGACGTCAACAAATCAACTGCTGGCCAGCCCTTGCGCTGGGCCACACCGACACTCCACCTGCCAGCGAGAACGAGAAGGCACCAAAGGCAGCGGAAAATGTACTGACTCGGTGACGTCGCGAACTCGCCGAGTCAAGGTCGGACGCGTCACGTCAGACCCATCCACAGCGCGACGCGTCACGTCAGGCCGAGTCAAAGCCTGACGCGTCACGTCAGGTCCAGCCATCACGTCACAACGAGTCCCGTCACGTTACACTCCTACACCACGTGACAGACCGCGCCGCCGTCACGTCACAGTTCGTCCGACTACGTCACAGTATGTCTCACCACGTCACACACTGCACCACCACGCCACAATCTGTTCCTGACGCCAAAGCCTGCCCCGCCTCGTCTCGAACTACGGTTCCGCTGATGGTCTGTCTTCCACGCCAACGCCAGCCCCGTACCGTTGCAGTCTGCCCTGCTCGTCATAGTTGGCTCTGCTCCCTGTACCGCCTACTCTGCCGCATTATAGTTGACTCTGCCCCTTGCACCGTCTGCCCTACCGCATTATAGTTGGCTCTGCTCCCCGCACCATCTGCCCTACCCCGTCATAGTTGGCTCTGCTCCCTACACCGTCTGCCCTACCTCATTAAAGTTGGTTCTGCTCCCCGCACCGTCTGCCCTACCTCATTAAAATTGGCTCTGCTCCCTGTGCCGTCTATCCTCCCCGGTTATAGTTTTCCAATCAATCTGGCCTCCCCGCCTTAGTTGGTCCAGCTCCCTTCGCAGTCTGCTCGAGCGCGTCACCTTCCCCCACATCAGGTCGCAATGCGAACCATCTCAACGCGACCAAACCTACCGTCCTGCGATCGCGTTCGTCTCGTCCCGGCCTCACCCTGAGTAGCCCGGCTACTCTCCCTGAGCTGTTGCAGCACGGCCAGTCCGGCGCACCACAGCAGTACTCACGGGGCGCGCATCGGTGGCGTCAGCCATGATCTGAATCCAGCCCTTGAACGTTGCGACTTGGAAGAGGGACAGATAGGCGAAGCCGACGTGGTCGAAGTTCATATCTGAGTTGACCCACTTCATGTTTTCGCCCTTGCAGTCCTCCATCTTGTTGACGATCGCAATCGGGTACGTTTCGTTGTTCTCGTCCACACACTGAGGAAGAGGTCGTGCTGTAAAGGCGAAGTGCCGGCATACCAGCTGGAGTCCACTATCCCTCGGAGTCCACTGGCACTGGGAGTCTATTGGCACTCGGATTCTACTGGCACTCGGAGCCTACTGGCACTCGGAGTCCACTGGCACTCGGAGTCCACTGGCACTCAGAGTCCACTGGCACTCGGAGTTTACTGGCACTCCGAGTCCATCGACCCAGTGAGCGGGCAACTGGAGAACGAGCAGCCCTTATGCCAGGGCGGAATCGGGGGCGAAATGGTCGGTGGCGTGTCCGGAATGTAGAGGGAATCCGCAGATAGACAGGCAACACTGCAATTCGGGTTGCGAATGAAAATCGCCGTGTGATTTTGCAGCGACTCAGATATGGTGTGCTGCGCAATCATACGTTCGCGTTAGGCTAGGTGTTTTTCGCACATTATGCGTGCAAACACAACCGCCTGTGGGAGCAATGTCTGCCAAACTCACCTTGTAGTACCTCCCGGCGAACAGCTGTACACCCATGATGGCGAAGATGAGCCAGAAGATGAGACACACGAGAAGCACGTTGAAGATGCTGGGTATAGCCTGGACCAGTGCGTTCACCACGACCTGGGAGCAGGGTTGGTGGTTCGTGTGAATGCAAGACATTACGTCTGAGCCTGGCCAATGCAGCATAAACGAGGCCAGCGAAAACAAAGGAGGCTTTCATTGTGGTCTGTGACTTCGGGAGGCTGACACATAAGAGACTTTGTTTTGCAGCATCGGGGAGATACGAGTTGGTGTTTCGTTTCAAGGAAGCGAGTTCGACAACATAGCTATACATATGCCATGTCAACTAACCAAATCAGTCAACAATGTGCAGCCTTCAGAGGGACTACGTCACACACGTCACTCAATATGACGTCACGGCTGACCACAAGGTTTCGCCGTGTTGTCGAGTGTCGTCACAAAGGTACGTTGCCTGACGTGGTGTGCGCCCCTGGGGCTCAGTCAGACGGACTGGTGCCGTCTGGGGCTCTGGCAAACAGGCTGGGGCCATCTGGGGCTCAGCCAGACGGACCGGAGCCGTCTGGGACTCAGTCAAACGGACCGGGGCCGTTGGGGCTCAGTCAAGTAGACTGGGGCCGTCTGAGACTCGATCAGGCGGACTGAGATTCGTTTTGTGCTGCACGGGGTGAGCGTACCTTCATGCCCTGCATCCTGGACATGGCTCGCAGGGGTCGAAGGGCGCGCAGCGTACGCATCGTCTTGAACGCCTGCACCCCTCCGGCTCCGGCCAGGGTGGCCACCAGGTTCACCAGTGATACCTGCGGCGCAGATGGTCACCGTCTCGAAGGGGAAGGGACTGAACCGATTCGAATGCAGACAGCGTGTAGACTTATACACTAAGTGTACCGAATCGATACTGACTTGATTCAACGTCAAATACTGGCAAGAGACAATTCATCTGCGCTTGTATGGGCCGCCTGGGCCTAAAGTCAACTGCTGCAATGCACAAGGCACACAAAGTAGTCCAGTGCGGTCTGCAAGACCTAGTTCAAAATGGTTTCTTTCTATGTCTTTTGATAAGTTCTGTTAGTACGCACCAATCTAGAATAATAGTAGGATAAGCGAAGCTGCCGAAGCAAAACAGAACGACATACACACCATGACAATGAGAAAGTCCAGCCAGCACCAAGCATTGGTGAAGTACTTCTTGAAGCCGAGGGCCAGCCACTTGACCAACATCTCAATGAAGAAGATCACCGTGAAAATGCGGTCCATATAGTACAGAATGTCTTGCAGAACCGGGTTGTACTTGAGATGAACGTCCTCCAACGCCTGCAAAGCCATTGAAAAATATATTTGCTGCTGACGCCATGTTACGTTTAGTATATCTCTCGCCCAATAAAATGAGAATTTCACTGAAAGTTGGACATACCTAGCTGCGATTGTACAAGCTTGTATCCATTCCCATGTGAGGCAATTCCTCACGTATTTATGATTTATACACCCGTAGCAACCCGCTACGCTTTCTGCTTGCAGTGAGCTCGCATTGTTATAGCTGGGCAGCCTAGAGCTGGCTGGCCCTGAGCATTACTGCCCAGGTCACGTGACCCGCAGTCGAGACATTAGCAAGGTTCGGTCAGTGACGTCATCCTCATTCTTGCTGTTACCATCACCATCAGTCTGGCTTTCAACATCAACTGTGCAATGATTCTTAACAAAACGTTAGTCACCGATCCCTATGGCAGTCGTCCACACCAAGTAACGTCGTCGCCATCACCATCATCATCACCATCGCCGCCACTGACCAGGGCCATGCTGCTGAGCAGGATCATGGTGATGACGGCCGTCTCGAAGTACTTGTTCTCGATCAGGCGGTACGTCTTCAGACGCAGTGCCCCCCAGCCTTGCCAGAAGGGTGAGTTGGGGTTGCCGCGGCAGCTGGGGCAGCGCACGTAGAAGGCCTCGGTGAAGCAGTCAGACGGTGTGTCGTTGGCCTGTACGTTGTCCGAGGTGGTGTCGATCACCCTGCCGTTCTCATCCAGCTCGTCCGCGTACACACCTGGCGGCGATGGTGGCGCCCTCAGCGCGGCGTGGCGCCGACGGGAACGATGCGAGCGAGCGCGTCGCAGTCCGGCCGCCATTCAGCTGGTGACTGGCACGGTCGCGTGATGCAGGGAGGGCTGTCCGATTGGTCGGTTCAAAATGGTGCGGCTTTATGTTGGAGACAGGAGCCAAGTGAAGCATATATCACAAGTTTGGAGCACATCACCTTCGATGGTACAAGCGTCCGATGATTGAGGGCTGCTGCAAACACTACATATTGCACACTGCCCGGAGCTAGCTGAATCCAAAGATGAGCTAAGCAGGACAGCAAGCGCTTTTTGTTCCCAAGCGCGCGTTCTCATCGCTTCATGGACGTGCTGCCAACAGGGGATAAGCGAGAAATGCATGGCATTCTCCACAAACATACCGCTCTCCAGATCCTCTCGGTTCCGCTTCTCAAAGGAGTCGATGCTGGTACCGCTGCCGTAATGGCTTCCGTCCTCAAACCGGCGGTTCTTGTGGCTTCCAAGTGACTTGTTGCTGCAATACGAGAGCACGTTGTTCGAACCTGGTTTACAGTTAGCGTCACGCCACCGGAGTGCAACTCGGTGCGATGAACCACAAACAACTGGTCATTGCCGTAATCGGCGAATACTTCCGGCAGCTCAATAAAAGCGCCAGCGTGCGCATGGCGCCATTGAATATGACCTCAAAGCGGCCGATCAATCGTCCCACTGCTGCAGGCACCGGATCGCTCTCCCTGAATGTCGCCGAACCGTGAATGTTTGATCATCGTCCGCACGGTAGCAGCCCATGCTGACCTGACGGCGTCATCTTCTAACGGCTTGTCAGGCAACGGGTAGACGCCGCCGTGGGGTATCGAGTTCGCCACGATGGTTCTGGTCTTGTCGGTCGGCGAACCAGCCATGGCGATGGCTTTGCCATCTGCCGGCAGCGGCGGCCGACGTCAGTTTCAGCTCGCCACACCAGGCGTCGCGAGGGTCGGCAGCGTGGGTCCCAGCGGCCGGTGACTGGACGTTCACTAAACAAGCGCGGGACTCAGAGCACCTTGGGAGCGCCTCGCATGGCCCTGAACATGACACGTTAAAAATACTTCACAGCCCACAGACATATGCAGAGATACCAAACAATCAAGGATGTAAGCAATTCAACACGAATCAAGTGCTCGCTTCGATAATTAAATGAACTGTCATTTCAAGACCTGATGCTGTAAGTGCCTGCATCGTCACAGCCTTAATGTTAAAATATCTGCTAATGCGATTTCATGATCATATTAGCTCAATTTCTGAGAGGTCGTTCCCATCCCCCTTCCCCAACTGCTTAAAACGGCACCTGGCAAGCAGAAGCATTTCCAAAATGTAATAACTAACTGAATGCAAAGGCTGGAAACATTTGGCGGTATGAATGAAGGTAGCTGCCTTTGAGATATTATATGCGGATCCAAGTTATAGATCACGACGTCTAGTACACTGAAGAAGAGACTGCTGCTGTAATAAGAGCAAAATCTACCGAACCGCGTCAGGCAGAAAGGTACCCGAACATTCGCCTGTGTTGTAGCCACCATGCAGGCGATAGGCACCGAAAAGCGCTTCAGGGCAGTGGTTGTTGGATGCTGGAGACCGGATGTAACCCATGCAGAGGCAAGACCCGAATGAGGGAAAGGGTCCCGTCCGTCATGGCATGCGACGAGCGGAGAGCGAAGTCGCCTCCAAGTGCCCTGAATATTTGGTTGTTTTATCAGGACTCACACTGATACACATATGGAATGGCGTGAGGCACAATGAACGCGTGCCAGGTCTCTGAATGTGATGTCTGGACCCGTTGGAACTGAGACTAGCGAGCCCTTTAGGAGAGACGAGTGGCTTGGACACTATGGCAAGCATTGGTGGTAAGAAGGGAGGGGGCTGCCTATAAGCTTATGAGGTTGCCTGAGAGGAAAGAAGGCAGACCGGTCCAATGATGCACATAAAACGTATGCCTTCAAGCAAGTAGCGGGTCCTGTATGATCTCGACCACACGCAGAGCTTCACGAAACATCCAGCATCATGTCCAAGACAAAGCGGTCGGACGAACCAGAAGCGCCTCCTCGCTCCCCTCCCGGGCCCCGTATGGGACGCTTGGCTCGGGTTCAGGCGGAGGCGCCGGCCGTGGCCGAGGCAGGACCGTGCGCCGGCCGGGGACCCACCCGCGCACCACCATCGCAGCAGACACGTAGAGATAGAGGGAGACTTCTCCGTCGGACACTGACCTAACTTACCGTTTCCGAGCTCTCTACCCGCTCCCGTTTCGACCAGGGTCTTACCGGCTGCCACACTCTCCTCACCGTCGCCGTGGGCTCGCGCGTCTGCGAAACACGATCGGGGGTGAGCGAGGCCCGGCGGCCGCGGCCGCGCCGGCGCCGACACGGGCGCGGGAATACAGGGCGCGAGCACTGAGACAGGGCCGGCGGCTACACTGAGGGCGGACCGGTCGGCGGCCACGGCTCGACAGTGGCCGCCGCCGCCCACACCGCTACCGGACCTGGGCGCCGCCAGCCTCGCCATGCTGTCGGGGCGCGGCGGCATGCCGTCTCTTCTCCTCTAGGAGCGGCGCGCGACGCGCGGCGACATGCGGCGCCGGCTGGCCAGCACCCACCTCGCGACTGGTCCGAGATCTGGTTGGTGAACTTGCCGCGCAGTGCTTTCAGGCCGTTGAGCACGTTCGTTTTGACCCAGCGTTTGAAGCGCCCGATACGGTCGAACGCTTCGGCCAGCTTGTTCGTGTCGCCCGAGCTGGTGGGCACGGCCGAGAGGTTGGACGCGCCGAAGCTGCTGAGCAGCAGCGCCAGGAAGAGACTCAGCACCTGTGTGGAGAGACGGACGCCGTGTCGGCAGGGGCGTCGGACGCAGGCGGCACGTGACACGTGACACGAGACACGTGCGACGCGTGCGAAACACTGTGGCAGCCGCACAAGAGGCCTCAGCGTCGACCGGAGGGTCAGAAACGGTGTCCAGCTCGCTCCTCGTTCACGAACACGACTAATGACGCAGAACAGCACTGCGTTTAGCTCTGCGTCATTCCTCTGCATGCGGACCGTGCCGGAGAAGGGAAATCGCGAAGCCCACGCGCGCGGTGGCGCGCTCATGGTGTCCACTTACCACCAGGTTGGCGATGACCACGGTGGCGAGGAAGAATGGCACGCAGGTGGGGTCGCTGACCTTGAGACACTCCCACATGGACTCGATCCACTCGCCGCAGAGCACGCGGAACACGATCATGATGCTGTGCATGAAGTCGGTGAAGTTCCAGCGCGGCACCTTGCCGCTGGGAAACAGCGCCTTCCGATCTGCGGCGGGCAGGAGCCGTGGTGTGACGTATCTGGCGCACTGCGACGCCGCGGCCCTTCAGATAGTCACGGTCTGTGGTCTTAGACAAAACTGATCTCATTAAAAATATTTCTAAACAAATTAAAACAAATCAGTAAACAAACACAAACAGGTTGCAGCACGCACTTCTGGCTTACGCGAAATGCGTCTTTTTACTGTTTTTTTCAGCCTAGAATGGTTTCCGAGCGGCGCGGCGTAGTCACGCCAAATTTTGCATAGCTGTAGACAATTGAATAGCAGATTGTTTGGTACCATAAATTTAGATGTACCTTGTAAGATCGCTGACCCATGACAAGTCAAAGTCAGGTCATGGTTTCAACGGGGACAATTTCTAGGGAACCTTCAATCTGATCCAACAACGGAGTGTTAAACGAAGTCACATATCTCTGAGATGCGTTCTTAGGCAACACAACAGTTGAATGAGCAAATAACATTCACCTAAGGTCAGGTATGAAGGTCACACCAAGGTAAAACAACCTGTTTTGTTATTCTGGGGCTTGCTGTATGATATAGTTTTTGGTGCTCATTTCGAATTTGTTGATAGCAGGAATCGCATTATACATCTGCCATGGAGTTCTTGGAGGTCCGAATAGGTCATTGACCTAAAATGACCCAGGTCAACGTTTGTTTTAGGAGCATACTGCTTAGCGTAATCTTTGTCGCTTATTCAAATGCAAAACTCAAAGCAATCTTTATGATTTTGGTCACCTTGACCTTCAAAAGGTCAAGTAAGGTCACTAACCTTGAAGTGACCTTTTGCTTAGAATCGGTTATCTAGGTTCTCCGGGCACTTTGGAGACCAACCTGGAACTTGACCCTTTTTACCTTTTTTGACCCGAAGGTCATGATTTAAGAACCTGAAACTTTAAGCCTAAGTGCGTTCACGTACAGGTCAGCACACCCTGCAAATTTGGTGTCTCTAGCTTTCTTAGTTCCCGGGATCTCAGGCGGGGGTCAAATTGAACCCCCCCCCCCCCCCCACCCGGGCGAAGGGTATCTAGCCGGCCACCCGCGGGGCGTGTTAACCAATATCATGTAGCAATCAGGGAGGGATATCGTGAAAGTACCAGACTTATACCAGTGTTTTAGGCAACAGCGTCACGCCGAGGGCTATGGAGAAGAGACCGGCAGAAATATATTCGTTATTTTCCATGAGCTAAAAGTAACGTAATGGACTGGCAAATTTTGTTTTTACAGGAAAAATAAATACCGGTAATTTTTCGAGAAGTCCCAGCTGCTTTAATATCAGTATTAGCCGCCGAGATAATGCCAAAGTTCTTATTAATTGTAAAACATTCGCTATTCTGCGCACCGAATGTGCCATTTCCCAAGAATCCAAGTCTTAACTACACTTCAGTTGTGTACACACAGGTGTCGCTCCCGTTCCCACACAAATATGTGAGGTCAGCAGTCGTATGCACTTGCGCGAAAACATCAAAGCGCGTAGCGCTTGCGCATGCATATTGTACCACGCAGAACGTCTGCATACCCGTGTAGTTCTTTCCGAACAGCTGCATGCCCATGACGGCGAAGATGAACACAATGATGCAGAGGACGAAGGTGAGGTTGCCGATGGCGCCCACCGTCTGGCCCATGATGGAGATGAGCAGGTTGAGCGTGGGCCACGACTTGGCCAACTTGAACACTCGGAGCTGGAGACACGGCACGCACGTCAGCTAGCACGAACTGCTGACAGTTGGTCTTTGGTGACGGCACTCGTTGGGATGGCACACGTCGCGATTGGTTGCTGTTTTTTTTCGCACATGTTGACATCGTCAACCTTTGGGGTTGCTGGTCATTGGCAGCATATTTCAACTGCGCGCGTCCACAAGTTATCTACGCTAATTGAATCGGCCAACACAAAGCGTCGAGTTCGACCATACCACCGGCAAACTCTCAGCGGTCAGTCGAGGTTCAACCCTCTATTAGTGCAGCCTGAGCACGGCGCAACATAACCCTGCTGGTGGGACAGCTCACCAAGCGGAAGGACCGCAGCACTGAGAGACCCTTGATGTCGGCCAGGCCGAGCTCCACCAGCGACAGGAACACGATGATGAAGTCGAAGATGTTCCAACCCTCTTGGAAGTAGAACTTGGGGCTCATAGCCACTAGCTTCATGGTGGCTTCGATGGTGAACGTCGCGGTGAAAAACTGTCGACGGCGGACAATGATCGAGCGGTGTATGGGACACATCTCTGGCAGACAGGCTGTTAAGTACAAGATGACCTCTCAGACGTCATCACAATGGGGAATTAATTCCGCTGACAGGCTCGTGGTTTGATCGAATAAACGAAGCTGTACGGGTTAGGGTGATACAAAGCCGTGTTTCTGGGAACATGCAGGCTTGCTATCGCTCTGTCCTTATAAATAGGGGATATTGAGAATCTCTCCCCCCCCCCCCCCAACACCCTCCATGATCTCCAGGTCTGGGCATGGGAATCGCTTAACATTCATAGAGCGAATGACGAATGGCTCACCATTTGACAGTGAGGACGTCGAAGAATGGCCCACCATTTGACATTGACGATATGTGCACACCATATGACATTGACGGTATGAGCACACCATACGACATTGACGATATGTGCACACGATATGCATACTATATGACAATGGTGTGCTACAATTTTACGTGCACTTGATCTCTCTGCCGTCAGCTTGGCTGGGGGCAGTAGCCGGCAGGCTCATCGCAGCCGCAGCCAGCCAGTGCGCCAGTACGTTAGCCCCTCATCACCGGCGCGTAACCCACTAACAGGACCGGGAGCGTGCTTACGTAGTTGCCGCTCTTCAGAAACGCCTCCATCTCCGGGTTCATGTCGTGCTGATCCAGCGCCATGAACAGGGTGTTGACAACGATGCACAACGTGATGAACAGCTCGAAAAAGGCGTCGAACACGAGGACGCTGATGAGCTCCTGCACTTTGACCCAGGGCCAGCAGCAGTCCCACACGCAGATGGTGTCGATGCACTTGGCTCCGAACACCTTGAGCTTGTCCTTGAATGTCGCGTCGTCGTCCTCCTCCTCCTCCTCTTCGAGAACTGAAAGATACACGAGTGTCAAGGCGTAGGCCGCGCGATACGACGCTGGCGCCAGAAATTAAGAGACCGTCGTTCGTGCACGGCAAGATCAATAATTTTCCTACATCAGGTGGATGCTTGAAGCGAATGTTTCACCGTGGCGTGAGCCTAGAATTTTGAATTTTGTTGTTGAGCAGCAAATGGTCTGGATCCCATTAAAAGAACACAGGCAGCATTCGGGCCGTAGAACGGCGTCTCATTCCTTTTGTGTCTCGATTAATTGACAGGCAGCTTTATTCTGAGTGGGGTGGCCGATTCGTATTCAGATATCCAATGGATTGATCAGAACTCACCATCGATTTGCCGGCTGGGCCTTCCCCTGGCTTGAGATGCCTGTTCGATGATGTTGTTCAGGACCATCAAATCTGAAAGAAGAGGCAACTCATCCAGCTCGACCGGTGCCACACTCATTGCACAATGAAGCCGGGGTTGATTGCATCGACCTTGTGACCAACGCCCAACGTCCATAGGCAAAACCATTGTCTTGCATGATTTGTGAGTTGAATGGCCTGGCTGCTAATGATATGATGATCTGACAAGCTTCAGAACGTGGGTTCCATTCCGCCGCGCTCTACGGGGTCAGAGACGCCTTGCCCCCCCCCCCCCCCCCCGGAAACAAAGTAACTGCAAGAACACAAAGTCTGGCAGAAACGCGTCACAATGCAGTGAAAAAGGGTCCCAAACAGCGGTGTAGCTTTCTATTCAGTTAGGGAGGCTTTATCCCCCCCCTCGCCCTCTAACTTGGGACCCGGCTCCATAACGCTCAGAAGAAAGTGGGCCAAATCAGGGGAGAAGCCTGTTTATTGGCGTATCTCTAGTTGCCGGATTAGATTGTCATTTCTCACGGTTTACCCTCCCCCCCCCCCACACTCATTTTGGGAAACTACGCCCTTCATCCTAACGAAGTTAAATGCATCTGAAACGCCGGAAGCCCCTGAGCCGCCCCCACATAACCCAACGGGCGGTACCTTTCATGTCGACCGAGTTATTTTTCTGCGAGGGTTCGACGAACGGGTTGTCCGAGAGTCTGGCCTTGGCCTGGAAGTCCTCAGCGGTCGGCGGCTCCTGGACGTGCGGGGACAAGCGTCACAACTCTGGCCGCTGCCGCCGCGCCGCGCCGCGATGGGACTCAGAGCAGCGACCGTACGGCAGCACCGGAGGGGGTTGGGGGGCGCCGCTCAGACGGCGCCCGGCCTCCAGGCGTCTGAGGGGCGCACTGACGTAGGCCGGCTGGCGGACCCGCATCCGCCCAGCTCGCGGTCCAGTGTCTGAGGTACACGCCGACATCCGGGAAAGTCGTGTGGCTGCCCTGCTCAGTGGCGTGGGAAGATCAAGTGACTTGGAAGTGGTTGGTTTTTGGGGCGCCTGAAATGTAGCCGATCCATGCTCCGCGACAAAGCAGAGCTACTCACGTCCACCTAAGCCACTTCAGTAAAGTGCTAAGTACAAACATTCAGTCATGCCTCTTTTTAAACTTATTAAAAAGATCATACAGCTCATTACTATTGGCTTAATGAGTGCCTACACATGTAGATATCACCGTGATAACAATGTCATGCCACTCACACGCATTACCGGCTCCAGTACATGCTTCACAAGCTCAAAATGCTCTTTTGATGCCACAAAAGCAAACATCCATCACAGTTACTCTGACTATCCAACAATGTTTAACTTTTATAACTAAAGCACACCTACGTTAGGTTCGTACGACAACGCGCACAGCACGCAAAACTAAACCAATATAAGCAAATCACTGTTCTGCGCCGAGCTCAATCGCGTCCCTCGCGCGTGCAACGACTCCACCCATGCCCGTGCCGAGCGGTGCCAGCAGCCGCCCACCACTGTCGCTCTGTCCTGGCAGAGGAGAACGCGGACCGGGACAGGAGGCCGGGCCTGGCCGGGGCAGGAGCCGGGCCTGGCCGGGTCAGGAGGCCGGACCTGGTCGGGGCAGGAGCCGGGCCTGGCCAGGGCAGGAGGTCTGGCCTGGCCGGGATAGGAGGCCGGGCCTGGACCGGGTCAGGGGGCCGGGCCTGACCGGGTCTGGGGCCGGATCTGGCCGGGGCAGGAGGCCTGGCCTGGCCGGGATAGGAGGCCGGGCCTGGCCGGGTCAGGTGGCTGGACTTGGCCGCGTCGGCCGCCTAGTCCGCTCCCGATCTCGATCGATGGGCCGCAGCGCATGAGCCCAGCTAGCGTGAGCGGCATTCCAGGCCCGTCAGCGACCACCGGTCACGCTACGCCGGGCCACTGCGACGCCCCCCCCCCCCCCCCCCCCTGACGAGGACCAGCGAGGACTGGGCGCGGCTGGCCGGCCCGCCCGCCACCCGTCACATCAGGAGCGGACGACGAAGGGACGTGGCCGGGTAGCAGGGTGTGCTGGGACTGGTACTATGTGAACTGATTTTGACATACACAGAGACCTGCATGCTTTCAAGATGACTGGAGCTAGTGCCTTCAGCCCCAGGGCAGACAGACCAAAATAGACAGGCCGCGGTCCACGACAACCAAGGATAGGACGACCGTAAATGTCTAGTTGGTAGGCTTCTCTTATCGTTGTGGTAAATCAGCGGGCACGGCTCAGCGACCGAGATGTGCAACTAGACTGCTATTTAGCGGCGTTGCACCGGTCACAATTTGGTTGAAAAGGCTAGCAGCGCACGTCTGGGAGCGTCAAGTATTGATAGTTTTAGCTATTGACGTTCAGTAATCCGGCGAGATGAAGCCAAAACATAATTTTCATGGAGAGATTGCAGTGCTACATTCGAAGGGATTTAGGAGGCAGGAGCCGGCAAACCAGCCCAAATTAGTACTGTGAGGCTTGGTAGATTGGTGGCTACTCCACGCCGTGTCTTGGCGCACCACTGCCTTCACTTGGTAAGGAATCCTCCTCTGAACTGTCCTCAGACGAATACACCGGGCAGCAAGCGCGCGTAAACAAACATCCCCCTTCTCGCTGACATAATATTTCAAAGGAACTGGTGTTGGATGGGACACTCGTCGTGGTTGCAACTTCTGGAAAAAGAACCGACCACTTCAGACGCCTTATTACTGCAGACTCCGCTCGCACGAACGCCTGCTTGGTGGCCGCTTTCAATGCCCGTCAGAGTGTGGCGTCCTGCGGTGGCCGGTGTGGATCCGCCGTCCAACACCTCCTCCCGACGAGCGCGCCTCTACCCGCGGGGCTGCACCCCGCCGCGGCCGGACTGTCGGGCGGTCAGCCCTGTACCGCCGCAGGATCGATGACCGTCTTTGAGAGCGATGTCCGGCACGGGGGACGCGTACGCGTTCTCATGATCTCGCGCTCGCTCTCGCTCTGGCCCCGCCGGCCGGCTGCCGCCGACGTGCGGCGCTGAATGGTGCGGCCCGGGCGCCACCGCAGTCTCAGTGGCCGACACGGCGCGAGCGCAGGCCGAGCTGGCGTCCAGGTCGGCGACGTCACCCGGCGGCCGGAGGCCAAAATAGCGTGACGTATCAAAGCAGCAGCAGGAATCCGCCCCGCCGCAGTATCATCACGGACCACGTGATCACGTGATCAGCAAAGTTTTCGACCTGGTGGATTTTTCATGCTACAGCGGCGGTGCCACACCCCAGACAGCTCTGGTTCACTCTGCCTCAGCCATCCTCCGCGTTTCGGGCCAGGCCCACCTGTCCTCCGCGTCGTGTGACCAAGTCCAACAGTCCCAACCTACAATCAGTTTCTACAACCCTCTGCGCTGTCGCGCTGCACCCAGCTGTCCTCCATGTGCTGTCGGGCTGAGCCAGCTGTCCTCGGTATTGTCAGGTTCGGTGTCGTCAGCAGTCCTCTGTTTTGTTGCCCCGCGCAGCCGACCTCCACGTTGTCGGGGCGCGTTTACCAGCCAGCAGCCGTTGGAATTGCCGGGCCCCAACCAGCGACGCTCCACACGCCCCGTAGGCCGATGTAATGTTCGACCCGTCCATCAGTCCTCTGTATCCAACAGTACTCTACCAGACCATTCCCAGCAGTCCTCTACCGGACCGCGCCAACAGTCCTCTGCACTCAACCGTCCTTTATCAGACCACGCCCAGCAGTCCTCTGCATCCAGCAGTCCTCTACCAGATGACGCCCAGCAATTCCGTGCATTGTCAGACCTCATCCAACAGGTCTCTGCATTGCTAAGTCACGCCCAGCAGTCCTCTGTCTTCTCTGGTTGTAAGCCCACGCCTAGCAATCCTCTAAATGATCGGTCCCCACCAAACAGTCCTCTTATTGTCGAAACCTTTCCAACAGCCCTCGGTACTGTCAACCCCACTCAACAGCCCTGTATGTTGTAAGACCGCGACCGATAGTCTTCTGCACGGTGGACAAAAGCCCTCCAGATTTCCGGACCATGTCAATGTCTGGCAAAGCTCGAAATTGTCACACTCCTTCCAACAGCTGTCCGCTCCGGCCCCCGGCACCTGCGTTGCCCGACCCCGCCCAACAGTCATGTGCATTGTCAGGCCCCGCCCAACAGTCATGTGTGCTGTAAGGCCCCGCTCAACAGTCATGAGCATTGTCAGGCTCCGCCCGGTAGTACTGTGCATTGCCGGGCTCCGCCCAACAGTCATGTGTATTGTCAGGCCCCGCCCCACAGCAGGGGCTCATTTAAGCCACCATGGCACGGTGCGCTGTCAAGGTCGAGCTTTCAACCATTTAAGTTCCAGGTGGTTGTCCCTTATCGACAAGTGTGTGAAGCCATCCGTGCCCTGTAATGGGGCGCCGGGCGCCGCCCAAAGGCGCGTGGTCCGGCCGGGCCAGGTGTTTGAGGCGGACCACTCGAGCAGAGTGATAAGCCCACCTGAATCCGAGGTTGACGGATAAACATCGGTAACTATGCCGCCGCTTGGTGACCTAGTATCGACTGCATTACAGCTTCGGGCGTGCTGAAATAAAACCAAACTCGGGCCGACGATGCTAAGGTATGGGTTAGAACAGGCATGCCCATCGAGTCCGCTTGCTCCACAGTTTTCTGTGTTCATGTGGGTACGCCCAGCCTGATGGGGCTATTTTTGGCATGTTGAGTGCTTTCCTGATGCAGCCGACGGACATCCAATCGGGAGGGCCTACCAAATGGCCCGACCTATCACAGCCCGTCGACGTCGGCGTCCGTAAAGCGCCGTATTTCAGCATCATTTGAAGTCTATTCCAGGCGGCAGTTCGCGACGCAAAGGCTTCCTCGCTGGACTAAGCGCACGTCGCAGCTCGGCCGGCCGCACCGCAAGCTCTCGGGCCGCGCGGCGCGACGTGCCGCCCTCCTCCGGCATCGGTGCAGCCGCGGCGTCCCCCGATCTCGGCCTAGACCGCGCCCGCCGCCTACTGTGCACTGCGGCGCCCCGACACGCCCCGCTGCAGACGAAAGCGGACGCGACAGGCAAGCGGACGCCGCATGCAGGGGCCGGGCGACGTGACACCAAGCGGGCGCAGGGTCGCGGCGGCGCCCGGCCGCCGCTAATCCGGCTATTGATTGGCGGCGCTGGCCGCTGCGCGCCGGGCGGCCCGGCCGCGTCTCGAGCGCCGTACTCACAGCTGCCAACCGACTCCTGGGCACGAGCGGGCGCCGCAGCGGGCCGGGGTCAGATGTCTGCGGCAGAGGTCACCGATCACCGGTCAGCGGTCGGCCGCCGGCCGCGGCGTGCCGTCCCGACCAGGGCGGGGCGCCGGCGGCCGCGGCGGCCGCGGGCGACGCGTGCACCGAAAGACGGCCGAAGGGGGCACCGCTGGGTTCGTGTGGTCAGTGTAATGTCGCGATCACAGAAGCGGCGGGTCTGTTTGGCGCTCAGCGTGAGCATGTGGTGTAACGTGAGGCGGCGCGCCTCCCTCAACCGCGTTCACCGACACCGAGCAAGCCTGAGCTGGTCAGCCAGGTTCCAGATGCACGAAAGCGTCCTCCAAGCAAGCGGGTGCAGTCACCGCACGCGTGGCTGGGCAGAAGGCTGGGTGACGTAGGCGGGGTCGGCACATCGAGAGCAGCTCTGGCGGCACGCCGGACACACCTTCCGCCACCCTCATACTCACCGCCGGCGCATCGGCAAACTCAAACTGCATCTCATTGCCGAAGACCTCGCGGATAATGCTGTCAATGACCTCATCGCTACGGTGCTGGCTGGACGGGCCGGCGGAGAGCGTGCCGCGCTTGACCGAGCCGCTCTGGGCTCGCACCTTTGAGAACGGGGCGGCGGTCAGGCGCGACAGCTGCGTGCTGCAGTGCGGATGCCTGGGGGCGGTCCCGTCCAGCCCGCGGCGCCCGCCGGCGCCAGCGCTCGCCCGGTGACCCGGCAGCCGGCAGGGGCCCACAGGTCGAGAAGATGTGCCAGCCGAGGGGAGCCGCCAGCCAAGCGAGGGTCCGCAGGTCGAGACGGGCCGCGGGACCCCAGGGCAGGGGGTCTTCGGGGCGAGATAGTCCACGAGCTTGGGGAAGCCATGTATCGAAAAGGATCTGCGGGACCAAAAAATGGCTCGTGAGCCGAGAGGCGCGTGTGGCAGGAGGCTGGCGCGCGAGCCGAGAAGAGCCTGGCTTGCGGGCCAAGAAACCTTCAGCGCCGAGGCGTGACGTCGAGGAGAAGGCGACCGGAGTGAGAGGGGACATTACGGAAGGAGCGAGCGGAGCGGGACGAGCGACGCATGCAGACGGCCGGGCCGATGCCGAAACAGATGAGGATGAAGCCAGCGAGGCGAGAACTATCAAAGAGAGAGACGGAGCAGCGCTGGGAAAGAGAAGAATCCTGGCCAAGGCACAGCATCTTGCCGACGCGCCAGGCGACATGCATCCTCTGCTGCGCATGCGCCGAGCCGGCGGCGGCGGCTGGGCGGTACTCACGCCGTCCGTCTGGCTGTCGGCGGCGTCGGCCGGCGCGGCGCGCCGCGAGCGCAGCTGCCACTCCTTGGTAAGGCCTCTTCCATTGAGCAGGTCGCCGTGCGAGTTGTACGAGCGACGCGAGCCGTGCGACGTGTACGAGCCGTGTCGCGAGCCGGCGAGCAGGCTGCCCGGCTGCTGGTACACGGGCAGCACCATGGTGCCGTTCTCCTCCGACATGGGCGTCACGGCCGCCGAGTCGTCGGCATACGGCAGGTGCTCCTGCGCGTCCATGTAGGTGGACAGCACGAGCGGCTTGCGGTCGCCGAGCTTGCGGCCGTTGGCGGCGCGCCACGTCAGCTGGTGACTGCCGCGCGAGCCGCGCCGGATGTTGAACGGGGAGCCGGGCAGGCTCAAGCTCCCCTGCAACACGTCGGCCGCTTACGGGGCGGCCGGCGCCTCCCCACCCCCACGCCCGCGCGCTGCCGGCGGGACCGTCCCGGCCATCCGCACCGCTGGGGGGCGAGCTGCGCCGGTGGCGGCGCGAGGGACACCTGCGGGTGGGCACTGAGAGCGACGCGGGGGCGGCGCCACGCCCGTGTGCCGCGGTGGGCTGCGGCCCGGTGTCGCCGGGACGCTGTGAGGCGGCCAAGCGACAGAGGCAGGGCAGGGCAGGGCAGAGGCGGGTGCGCGCAGGCGTGAGGGCGGCAGCCGGGCGGTGCCGCGTGCTCGGGCGGCGGCACACGTGGCGGGCGCGGCTCCAGCGGGCACCGGTCGCAGGTGGTGCTTGGCGGCAGGTGACAGGCACTGTAGGTCTGTCGTGGTGAGCAGAAGACGAGACACACACGGTACGAAACACTCCTGACAATCGGAGCCAGCACCAGAGATCATACGGTGCAGGTTACTGAAGCCAACACGGGCAGACAGTGTCAACGCGCACGCCCACACCCAACCACACATACGCGCACACATACAAAAATGGTCAACAGTTTGCGTGCGGCATATAAGCATAATAGAGTTAATGCAACGAAGCTCGATGGACACTCCTCTCGTGGCCTCTTTAAAAATGGCAAGCAATACAAGTTATCAGCCATGTTGCGAATTATCGAGGCATTAAAAGGTGCTTGAAGTTTTGCTCACAACTAGGGGCTTTCAATTATTTTATCTAATCTGATGTTTGACGGTGCATGTTGCCTATCGAATATCCTTCACGTAGGCGCATGAAGTGGAATTCAATTACTGCAGGGCAAGCGAACCTAATTTGGTCTTTATTTTTCACAAATCAGAAGAGAGACGTCGACAAATGGCGCATCTATCCGCCTACTGCTGACACGATTCTAGAACTTACAATAGCTCACTTCGGGGAAAGTTCCACAAAATACAGAACCGAAGCACTTGTGGTTTAATGCCGATCAAGCGCGGTTCAGAAAAGACACGCTTTGTGGGAGCTCTCGGTCCAAGAATGCCCAACAGCACCATACCCTCGATTTAATTATTTACTGGTGGCCCGTCCGCTCATACAGATATACCTTTTGGAAGCGCTTTGGCTCGCGTATTTGTGGGAACTAAGGTCGTAATCTAGAAGGAACTCTAGTCGCTCTTAACTACACTGCACTAACGACTACACATCGACCGGAACGACATGGAGCATACTCGACTCGTCACAAGAACAGATCTGAAAGAGGAGGGTCATGAGCTACCTGAAAATAGCCCAGTTAAGTTCTGGTTCTAGCGTTTCTATTTTGCCTTTTATCTAGACTGGCTGACTTTACAGTGGCAGCGCTAGGCCATTGCCGTCACTTATGTGTACTTGACAGAACTACTCGAAAGGAGCGGCTGAGAAGTCCTCCAGGCGCGAAAGTCTACGATCATTCCCTGATAGCAGCAGACGTTTAGGTCTATACCAGCTATATACGCTCACCTACTGGCCACAAAGATGCGTCACATACCTTTCCTGGGTTTAAACGTTATTTATTTCACCCCGTCGAAATGCGCTGTAAGGAAGAGTTGATGTAGAAAACCCAAGAAATACAATCGCGTGATTCAACATATTTAAACGCATGTAAACTGTTTGTTTTCAACGTATTTGTCAAAATCTCAAGAGAAATTGAAGCATCAATGACGTAAGAAGGTCAGACAATTAAAATGGATGTAATCCCAGCATAGACCAATCATCTTTTCGGTGCTCCCAGCGACTTTCCAAAAAAAAACAACCCGTCTACATGATTCTCTGAACAGTTTTAAACAACCCGTCTTTGATTCTATGAACAGTTTTGTACCTTAAGCCACATTTTACTTCTCCTAGCTTTCCCTGTGAAGCAAAAGTATGCATGTTTTGCAGTTTCGTGAACCAGCGATCCACAATATATTTTTTCAGTTGATGCAACAGGCCTAAAATAAGCAGACAATGTCAAACAACGTGCTTAAAGCTGATTATCCATTTGTGACCCAGCTAAGGACAAACTGCAGGACAAATTCGGGGACGGTGTCGATAAGCAGCACACCAAAAGTTACGCATTGAGAAACCTGGTGTCGACGGTGCAGATTGGAAAAGGACGTCACAAAAAGTCCGTTGATAAAAAACAAGATATACGTAAACAAGATGTACTAGTTCGCAACTTGCCATTTTGTTGCCAAACAAACGCCTGGTGGTATCCGCTTCCAGGCGTCAATACGCGGCTTGACAGAAAACTTCAGCTTGTGTGTGCACACACACAAAACATTACCAATCTTTTTAAACTGGCAATGTGTCTTTGTCGTTGTGGCAGGTAGATAACGAAGACAATTTTCACAGACAAGTTGGTGCGAACAGCACGAAACCTGCGGGCATGCGCCCAATGGCATATAAATGTCTTGACATTGATATTAGATCACAAGACATTCGTTACTAGAACCACCACTATCACTGGGGGGAGGTGAGGACGCACTGAGCTCCGTTGTGAAATCCCCGCCAGCGGCACACCAAGTGAACCCATGAACACAGCCGTGGTGCCATGCAGGCCGGCGCCGTCAGCGGCACTCACCTTCCTAGCGATCTTGCCATTGGCTCTGGGCTTTTGGTCGACCGTCGTCTCCGTCCCCATCTCGGACTTGATACTCATCCTCTCGCGGTTGTTGTCGTGCTCCTTCTCCTGGCCGACGAACAGCTCATCGCTGTGACAAGTGTGCTGGGAAGGGGAGCGTCCCACGCTCTCCCCGTCCCCCTTCCCACGCCGGTGGGCTTCCGCCCGCTCCGCCTTCGCCTCCTGCCGGTCAGAGCAGCTGCTGCAGGGCCGGAGCACATCGTCCACAACACACGGCACACAACACACCGCCCACAGCACACGGGCCGAACACACCGGCCGCAGCACATCGGCCACAACACACCGGCCAAACACACCGGCCACAGCACACCGCCCACAGCACACCGCCCTCAGCACACCGCCTACAGCACACCGGCCAAACACACCGGCCGCAACACACCGCCCACAGCACACCGCCCACAGCACACCGGCTCCAACGCACCGGCCAAACACACCGGCCACAACACACTGGCCACAGCACACCGCCCCACAGCACACCGCCCACAGCACACCACCAACACGGCCACACACACGGCAACACACCGGCCAACACACCGGCCACAACACACCGCCACAGCACACCGCCCACAGCACACCGCCCACAACACGCCGGCCACAACACACCGGCCAAACACACCGGCCACAGCACACCGCCCACAGCACACCGCCCACAACACACCGGCCACAACACACCAGCCACAACACACACAGGCCATAGCACACCGGCCACAACACACCGCTCACAACACACCGCTCACAACACACCGGCCACAACACACCGGCCATAACACACTGGCCACAACACACCGCTCACAACACACCGGTCCACAACACACCGGCCATAACACACTGGCCATAACACACCGGCCACAACACACCGGCCGTAACACAATGGTCAGAGCACACCGGCCAGAGCGCGACAGCCAGCGCACATTGGCCGCAGCACAACAGCTACACTACAGTAAACTGCTGCAAGGCCTTGAGCGGTGGCCCGGCGTGATGTTTGGTAGGCTGGGTGATGTACGCGCAGATGGACGGCGACGGTTGTCCCAGGATGCGTCGCTGACGTGACCAGGCGCCCACTGTCACAGCACGATACAAAAGTCTCTAATCGGCACATCGATACAAATTGGACGGGGAAAGACTGCCTTCCGAGTCCATGGTTCAGAGCGCTATTTTAGGCGTTGTGCTGAGCCCAGTCCGCATTTTGAGCGTTCCCGAAGACGGTGGACTGCACCAGCTATCACCCGAGCACTCACGACTGCACCAGCTGTCATCCGAGCACTCACGACTGCACCAGCTGTCATCCCGAGCACTCACGACTGCACCAGCTGTCACCCGAACACTCACGACTGCACCAGCTGTCACCCGAACACTCACGACTGCACCAGCTGTCACCCGAGCACTCAAGACTGCACCATCTGTCGCACGAACACTCAGGGTTGCACCGGCTGTTAATCGAGCACTCAGAGGCGGCGCCGGCGTAGGCATGGTGGTGCCGGTGCCGGTGCCGGTGCCGGATACGATGCTGACCTCCTTTCGTTCGCGCTCGGCGACTGCAGCTTCTTCGGCCATCCGCTCCTCCTCCGCTCGCCGCTCCAACTGGTCGTACGACATCGCCACGATGGCGAGGATCAAGTTCAGCAGGTAGTACGAGTTCATGAAGATTACCACGATGAAGAAGACGAGGTGGATGGGTCCCGCCGTTCGCAGGACCTGTGGACCGAGGGTACACTGAGGCGACCGGCTCGGTCAGGACCTGTGGACCGAGGGTACACTGAGGCAACCGGCTCGGTCAGGACCTGCGGACCGAGGGCGCACTGACGCGACCGGCTCGGTCAGGACAGTAAAACCACCGACCAGAGCTTCGTGGGAAGAACTGCGCCCCTCTGGCCGCTGTATTTTTGGTTGGGTAGAGTCTAATGATATAAGAGGAGCTTGGCATGGATGACATGAAAAATCAACAAACTGTAAGAGGTCAGGTCGTAATTTAACCATTCACAGACCAAGGGAAACAGAGCCCTTAACGGTCTTATAAGAATCAAACACCGGTTGGTGACCTACCAGCTGGTAGAGATCTTCCCAGTAATCCTGGGTCATCAGCCTGAAGGACGCCAGCAGGGCGTAGCCGAAGGTATCAAAGTTGGTGTAGCCGTAGTTGGGATTTGGCCCGAAGCCAACCAAACACGTGTAGCCTGCTGGGCAGTTGCTGCAATGCACAGCACCCAGGTGGTTGTCAACAGGCACTGCTGCTTTGGGTGAGTGCAGTGTGCAAGATTCTAGAAAGCACAAGTTTGTAAAAGAATGAACTGATCTTGAATCGGAGTTTGCGCCTGAAATAGGGACTCCGTGTTCTTTTGGCAAAGTATAAACGAAAGAAAGCCCGTTAAACGGTTTTGCGGTCATATTGCAAAGGGAATGCTGGACCACGTTGCGTCATGGCTCCAATTAATGCATCGTTTTGAATAAAACGTACGCTTGAGTTTCAGTTTTTCGTGCGTGAATCTTCATCTTTGCGACCTTTAGATCTAGCTATAAATTCGACTCGCAAGCAAAAAACCACCAACGGCGAAAACAGATAATTTTCTCGGAAGTTCACGTTGATCGCGACCATAAAAATTGCACGAACTAGGCTTTCCGCCATCATCTTTTTCCAAGCGATCCACTGATCAACATCGTCACGTTCAGTACTCCAGACAAGGGCGCGTGGAGCAACCGCTGCTGGTCACCTTGCGCCAGACGAGTTCCCGCACAGCTTGTAGTCTCCCATGACGCTGTTTTCGTCCGGAATCCAGTGACCTGCCAAAGGGCAAGAGTTATGTAGAGCACGTATGCTATCTCATGAGCATGCTAATAGAGCATGTCTAATTATCTACCAAATGGCCGTCGTCCCAGGTGAACGATTCGCCGCGACGGCTGGTGGACCCGACGGACGGTCTGTCGACAGTGCGCTGTCAGTGGGCTCGCCCAGCTTACCATGCCGGTCCACGCCGACTAACGCCAGCCCTCTCCAGCCGTGATACCCTCAGGGACCACCGGCATTTAGCATCCCAACATCGCTGTCTACTTCAGTGAGCTGACATGGTTTCGACGCTTGTCAATACAATACACGCCCCATTGCGTTTGCCGCGCCGCGACCATTGGGGTGCGATGGTTGGGCTATTCGAGCGGGCGGGGCAGAAAACGCCTGCACGCGGCCTTAAAGGGAGTGTTCCATATTTGTACTTTGTGTTGAGCTGAAATATCCATCTTGAAGATCATGTAGTGCAGTTTACAGTCCTGCCCTTTTAAGACCCAATCCCTTTAAGTTTTTGAGCTACACACCTGCAAAGATCTGCAGAATATTTTGGGGTGACTATTTCAAGGTCTCCCAGGCATTCACGACACCATAATCAAGTCATTCAAGTCACCCCATTTCATCAATCATGCAGTGATCAAGACTTAGAAAAACACAATTGTCCAGTCGTTCATGTGTGGTGTTCGTGAGCACAATTTCCAGATAAAACGGCCATCAACTGGCCCTCCATCAATGTTGAGAAGCAACGATGACGTAATTAAACAGTGACGTAATGAGCAGCATATTGACTAAGTAAAGAAATTATGTTGTCTAGAGCGGACTTTTCCACTTAAAAGCACGCCAATAGTTATAAGTGAGCCTATTTCGTAATATTTCGATTACTTCAAGGTTTTCGAGGGCGGAACATTCCCTTCAAGATACGCCCACTTAGCAATTCATTTCAGAACGCTGGTTCACTTTGTTAAATGTAGGTGCCGTCTGCTGCTCTACCCATATACGCACCCAATTTAGTCCAACGTGGGCGTACTCAACCAAGGGCGTAGTTTTCCATTCAGTTGGGGCTCCAGCCTCTTCAACTTGGGCTTCTACCCCCGAAATTCGAGAAGAAAAAAGACCAACTCCGGAGAGGAGCCCGTTGGTTAACGTATTTTGTGGGTCGGTTTTGTTATTTTTCACTACCCAGCTCCCAACTCCGTTAACGTTGTAAAACTACGCCCCTACCATCACCTCACGAAAATCAATATCACGATCAAAAGCGGCAGAGTATGAAAATTGTCGTAGGGCATATAAATCACACGTTTATGTGTTTTTCTGCAGTATAACATGTAAATTGTAGGGTGCGCGAAGCCCACAGAATGTGCCGGACAGATATCGAATGCCTTAGGAACTGTCGGATATGATAATATGGGATCATAACATAAGTGCGAAGCGAAGCTTCGGCTCCAAAGCTTCAGTAGCTTTTCCATTATACAGACCCTATGGGGCAATGGGCTACTACATAACGGTGCATTCAGTGAAGCCCATGTTTCAGCTCATTTATCGTTCTCATTTCTGCAACTCCTCCGAGAGGTTCAGTGCCTTTTACGCAGGAGCAATAAAAGATAACTGGCGCTTTCAAAAAAGAGAATATAAATGCGGACTGCAGGATGTACTCCCCACTGGCAATCATCACAGACCCACGACATCCGTGCGTGTGAAATAAGACCCACGACATCCGCAGGTGTCCGTGCGACTGACGGGTCATACCGACTCTCACGGGACAGGAAACTAGTAGTGCGGGATAGAAGAGGCGCGTCAGGTCACGAGGGCTTGCCGTGGCTCGATCATCTCCCAATCCTGGCTTTCCGGCCGATCATTCACTGATCAATGACCGAGGTGATTTTACCAGAGGGTAAATACAGCTCTTAGATGTTTTGTGTCAGACTCGGAACCGACTATGTGCTATGCGTTTTGAATTGGCTCAGATTTACCTATATTGCGGTGATCTGGCTTTTATGCAGACAGAATTAAGAAGAAACTACTGACAAGAAACTCCAGACCATGTCGCTCCCGTGGTGGGATTCAATTGAATGCTTAAAGTCCAGACATGAAGGTTCAGCCAATGCGTCATATTGTGTCGCAACTGCAGGTACATGAACAACGTGGGTCAAAGCTGGACACAGGCGCATTCTGTTTCAGCCAAAAAAAAAACGGCTTACGTGTGACGGCCTTCCCACCACCTCTGTTCAGAGAGCAGACGATGAGGACATGAGGCCCCACGGTCCGTCGGGCCTTTCCAGCCCACGTTAACACGGTTGTCGCAGCATGCTCTCGGCGTGAGCGACTGGCAAGACGCGCGCGAGTCTGCACGCACAAGCAGCAGCGCACAGCTGCGCTCTTGCGCGGGCAAGCCATGAGAACAGGCTGGCCGGCACCCGCAAGACGTTGTTCTCACCCTGGCTTTTCTGCCCGCCGACCCCTCCCTCATGTTCTCTGTCACCGCCGCCTGTCTCCTATCCTTGCCATTTAGACTCGCTCATTCAGAAGTCCATGGCCGACATCCTGGCACGTGTTGCATCTGAATGCGAGTTATGACACGTGCTACTTTAGTTTCAAAATGTATATGGCCAGTCAAAATCATGCTGGTGTGCTTGACAATCTTCTGTAATGTCTCACTGCTGACCTCGTGCTGGTGCGTTCAAATTGATGATTTGGAGGCTTGAAGAAAATTCGACGTTCCAGCATCTCAGATGGAGTGTATCTATATGCTTATGTACATTGCGTGTATGATTATCAATACTACAGCACTGACTGGGCGTCCACGATCCACAATCTGACCAAACTCTTCCAAAGCACAAAAAAGCCCGTTGGTTTCACAAAGTCTTGCACACAATGAAAGACTCTCGTTCGTGGCGGCGTCTTTACATCCGGGCTACATGCGACTGAAATCTCTGTGGCTGAGACGCACTGCTAAAGCCTAAGTCCGCCATCACTTTGCCGACACAGGCAGGAGCCGCCCAAATCTCCCCTCCTGACGAGTCAGCCGCTGCAATAAAGCCATTTAATGCGTCAGCCCGTGCCAAGTAACATGACGCTCCTCAGCACTTCTCAGCGCGGTAACATGGTGCTCCTCAGCACCTCTCAGCGGCTCGCCCGACGCTACCTGGGCGGTTGGAACAGTTGGCCGGCCGGTACCTGGGCAGGGCCGTGCCGGAGCCGCCGGCGTCCGGGCAGCGAACGATCGATCCGGGGCGCGCCGCCGCGGCTCTGGCTTTGGGCCGTGACGGCGCTCCCGACCCAGTGACCGAATCGCGCGGCCGGGCGACGACCGTGGCCGCCCACCGAAGTAGCGCGGCCGCGGCGCGTGGGATGGCTCGTGCGACGGCTGGCGCGGTCCCGCGCTGGCAGAGCGAGTGATGTTGGAGAAGGCAGGGTGTAAAGACCTGTGGTTTGGCGTGATAGCTAGCCGACAGCAGCTGGGGGAGGGAGGGGGAGGGAGGCCGGCGGAGCCGAGCCGCAGTGAGTGGAGCAGTGGCCCGTTCTCGCGACCTCACTGCCAACAGCACCGGTCGGAAGGCACGCATTCCGAGGCAAACTGGACAAGCTGACACCAGCATTGCGATCGAACCGGTAGCTCGGCCAGGTGCACCGAAGCCAACCGTCAGTAAAGCTGGCAGGAGCCCGGACTTCATCTCGCGGGCTCAATCCGCATATGCTGCAGCCGATTCGATGAATGGCGCACACCTCTAACAGTTTCAATCAGACTTTGTCACTGTCGTGGGCCTTATCCCGTGTATTAAGCCTTCTACGACGTGCCTGGAAGTTCTAAGCCCACTGAGAACTACTAAGCCTGGTTGATCGAGATCAGCGCCATGACATCGGGGAATTGCTTCCCCGAAAAATAATCTATTTGATGGCTTAGTAGATGTATGCGCGCGAAACTGGAGAAGTCAGTAGCGAAAGTTTAAAGCACAACACGCATTGGCAGCGGGTTCCCGTCGGTGGCGCTCGGCAGTGGCTGGTGCGGCTGGCGCGAAACGGCGCACCGAGCAAGCAATGTTGAAACTCCACAGCGGATAGAGGCCCGTGGTGCGCATGGCGAAGATCGCAGGTGAAAGATGGTAGGGGAAATCTGGGCCCGCCAATTTGTCAGTTTTCCGATGTGTTTCACGACAGACAAATGCTTTTTGGAGTAAGAATCGTCCAAACCGACGTCTCGCATCAATGCGAATTTGTAGGCAGTTCATTGCAATGCCAGTTTTCTTTCGTTCTATTCTGGTCTGACAGAACCAGAAAACTGTTGCAACCACAGACCAACATTTCGCAAATTAAATCCATACGTGTAGATAAGACGTGAAATAATCCGTTACCTGTCTACCTAGGCATTAGATGTTTCTTCTCCATTTCAAATCAACATCAATCGACATAATATCTCTTGCTCTTGAGGATTTCACATATGAGCAAACCACCATCTATGCAGCTGAATGCGCACATTCTCTGAGACTTCGTGCAACAACTAAGACAAATGCGTAAGGGGCTGGGCCTACCAAAATTTCTCCAACTTAGAACGAGGCGAATATAAATAAGACAAAATAGGGTTCAACGGCAGCCTTTCAACACAACGATTTACAAAGAACATAATTGCGAATGGTTACAAATAGCCTCGTGAAAGTTGCTTTTGTAAGGCCAATTGTGAGACCAAAATAATGCGGCGTTAAGAGTCGACCACACAAAAATCATCTAGCAAAAATAAGTTATGCTTTTAGTTAGTAAAAACCCATTACGGCTTTGCACGTTTTTAACACAACAACTTTACACTTGGGTCTACTGTTTCAGGCTGAACACTGACTTGCAGATACCCTCACGCTTGTGTTTCATCCTGAAAGGTCTGGGAAGAGGGGGGGGGGGGGGGCACAGCGGCAGTCCACATCATCGGCGCGTTAGGGCGTTTGCATGCGTAGGCTTATCTCATTTGCTCAGGCGCAGCGGGAGTCTATTGATCCTGGCGCATCGGTAAACATGATGGTCACCTCGGCTGGGTGCACGCGCTCTCGTGCACCTCCAACGACAGCAGTCGCGCCAAGCGCCCGCGCCGCTCTCGCCACCGCCGCGACGCCGCGCCGCCGCGTCGCCGCCCGTCGGCCGCCGAAGGTGAAGCGATTTCCGCTGTCAACCCGAGCACCCTGGGAAATTATGGGTCGGGAAAAACAGCCGGCCCAGGCTGGCGGCCGCGATCTTCGCCGACGCCGCCAGCCCTGGGGACGGTGGGGCCCGCGGGGAGCGCCGTAATGACGGAGACGAGCTGGCAGCTCGAGTGCGCCGTAGCGGTGATACCGGCTGATGCAGTGGCGAGTGGAGGACAGCACCATCGGGTGTGGTGGCGAGGAAGGACCGTGCCATCTGATGCTATGGTGAGGGGGACAGTGCCATCTGATGCGATGGCGAGGGAGGACCGTGCCATCTGATACGGTAGCGAGGGAGGACAGCGCTATCTGATGCAGCGACGAAGGGAGGCAGCACTGTCCGAATCGGTAGCGAGGAGAGGACCGAAGAGGAGATCATCCATGTGGCAACGTTGCCAGCGATGCGGAAGGAACCTACCGGACCACTGACGGGCCCGTTCGCAGGGCTGCCGCCGTCTGGGTGTGGTCGCCGCGTGCGCGAAACTAATCCGACGTATTTGCCATCGCCGCTACCGACCCTCCCCCCCCCCTCCCCCTCAGCGTCGACACCAAACGGCACTGCGGCACGGGCAAGGCTGGGCGACATCTCCGCCCGTTCGTCCGTCGCGCCCGACCCGACGAAAGCCGGCCGGAAACTGTGACAGTGATAGAATGTAAGTCCGTGCAAACTGGTCGAGGCTAGGGGAAAGCCCAGCCGACGCCAGCGCTAATGACGGCAAAGGGCTTCTGTGTGTATGGGGCCGCTGCAATACACTGGAGTTGAAGGAAATGCAGGTTTGCTTTCGTAAATTTTGTGATAGTTCCAGAGGCATGTAGATCAAGGTGTTAGAAAACCAATAGTAGCATCATTTCTCTGAAGATGGCTTCATCCGCACAACATAAGGTTTTAAAATGCGCGGTGACGTCACCGCGAGTTTTCTGCAAAATTAGTGTAATGCCATCCGCTTGAAAGGTGTCAACACAAACGGCTCCTTTATAGCCCCTGACAAGTACAAATATGAGCTGTTTATAAGATTAAGGTGCATCGTTATTGAATCAGACATTTGGGCGCAAAAAAATAACTGTCTTGTTCTTAAAATTAGGGTGATCAAGTGGACTTGTGTCGCATTATATGAAACGACGATGACCTTGATAAAGTATTCATTTGGTTCGGCAAGCATTGCAAACCACCCACGTTTCGGTGCTAATAGTTATAGGGCATCGGAGTTGATTGGCAATGCGCTGCTCTAATAGGGTTCTGCCTTTTCGCCACTGAAGTGAGAGTGTGCTGTTTCATGAAGGAAACCCAAACAACCCCTAAGCCGACCGGACGTACAGCGGGGCAGGCTGCGCCACCAGGCAGCTGCGCTAGGTAGGCTGTACCGCTATGCGCAGATGGCAAGCAGGTAGGCTGTGCCGGCGGACAGCCGCTGCGCTGTCTGACAGCCGCCGTGGACAGCTTGCGACGCCTGTTCCATGAACGCCCCGGTCGGCTGTGGCGTTTAGCGCGACACCACGGAATCGATGGGGCTGCTGGGCGGCCGCCGTGGTCGGCGGGCTCGACGATGCCGCTAATCAATATGCATCGGCGCGCCGAACGGCGACGGCCGCTGCGGACCGTCCGGGGAGCGCCGCCAAGCCCGGGCGGTGCTCGGTTTGGTGGCCTGGGGGCGGCGCAGCGCTGGCGGCGTGGCGGACAGCCGGACATGTAATGGCGTGATGATGTGGGGGACGCCGGGGTCACGGGCTGTGAGATGCAAAGGCTGGCGACCTTGTCTGGTGAAGCGAGTTTGAGTCTCATTTGGGCTTTGCATAGCCGTACGTGGCTCAGGTAGAAGACAGCTTGAGACTGGGGCAAACTAATTGTCCGCGCGGAATGCTAGACTAATTTAACGTCGTACAGACGACAGTCTTAATGAGGTCAGGCGCTGTTTGAACTTGCGTCGCACTGGTATTCTGTAAGAAAGGACAGCATACTAAACTGATAAACAGACAGTCGCCTCGGCCACGCTAGGACAGCAAGTCGAGTGTTGCCATGACGACAGCATCGACAGTGTCGTTACGGTGCACATGCAATCACCACGAGTGTTCGTCCATGGGAAATTCCGGCAGATATCGGTGGCATAATGACCAAAACCAAATCGCAAATCAAGCCGAAAGTGTTCCCTGGTCCGCATTGGCACTCCCCAGAACCAGATATGAATATAGGCATCGAACCGCGCCGCCTTTGCAGACAATACCTACCCGAAAAGCAGCATCACGCTGTTAAATAATGACACAACGGTTCAAACCGCGGCCGTGTCTTTCTGAAAGTGCTGCGCCGGGGCCGGGAGCGCGGCACGGCGTCGGCGCCACGCGGCCGTGGGTCCGATGCTTCAGCGCCGATCCTAGCCGGCCGGGCCAGGCCGACGGCCCGTGCGCCGGCACCGGCTGGAACCGTCGCATCGATTCGACGCCGGTCGCCCAGGTGTTTGCGACGGAAAAAGAAAGCCGATGACGTTGCTATAGGGACAGTGTCTTGCCTTTGACGTGGCAAAGGCCCATTATGGACGCCCTGCAAGCTACAGGATGGTGCTTGATGGAACTCGGAGAGCTGGGAGTCGTCGCGACTTGGTCGAATGCCACACAAGCGCATTATGGCCGTTTGCAATGTGATCTGAGAGATTTCAGTTACAACAGCATGCCGGCGCACGATTTCAGTTACAGCAGCGGGCCGTTACTGATAAGAACCCACTCATGCGAAGGGTACACTTGGCAAAGTGGCTTACAACTACCCGACTTCCATGCGAGTTTTTCCCACCTTAGTGTCCACAAATGCAATAAAAATCAAACAAACGAATGGCCGTAATCACTTCGGATCCTGACACTTCCAAGTTTTCACCGTTGCTACCAAGCTGTGTTACTTTTTCAACCCATTACAAGTGTTAGTGTGACTAAGTTATTCCCTGGAACTCTTCACGGGCAATATCATTGCTATTAATATCGGAAATAAATTTTAAGATGAGTTCAGTTACGGTAATTGGAGCTTTACACATCATGCCCGCGTTGGAGAAGGGAAGCGCCAACATGAACGTAGAGCACGGAAATGCAGGTTTGCGTGTATGCATCCCTGCCTGATTGTGTATTTGTATTATATCGGCACGAATGCAAGCACATATGCGCTCATGTGCTCATTTCCTCCCTCTTTCGCAACTAACGCCTTCATCTCATCCTCACTCTTCTCTTCCACACGCACACGCACACACACGTACAAAAACATCCCCACACGCAAACACCGACACAAATTCAGACACACACAAACACACACACACACACACACACACACACACACACACACACACACACACACACACACACACACACACACAAATTCAGACACACACACACACACACACACACACACACACACACACACACACACACACACACACAAAATATCTAACCACACCCACACCCATAGATGTCTGCGCGTCCACCAGCACATTCTAACGCAGAAGGGCGCACACCCACACACGCACACATCCACAGAACACAAACTCTCGACTGCCTCACACAACGCTCACGCCCCGCACGCACACATGTACGCACCATCGCGCGCGCACACGCTCACGCCCTCGCCAGCATATACGCACGCGAAAGAGGATTGGGGTGTCTGGAAAGCCACCATCAGAAGCATTATGGTTGTGATGATAGTGAGGAATGCTTTTGTTTCAATTGTGTTCTTTTTTCTTATAACGCGCGCCGAACATGTTTCTTTAAAGCAGCAGAGAGCATCGGCAGTTCACCCAAGTCAAGGAGGAGAGGGGAAGGCGGTAGCCACATGGTTATTTTTTTTTACAGTTAACGCACATCGAGCCAGTGCTAGCTGTCCAGAAAGTTAGCGAGTCTTAGCACCCCCTCCCTAGGCGGACAGAAAACCTGCTCGTTGGGTACGTCCCACGTGTTTCCAGATGAGTAAATCAGATTTTTGTCCGTTCGATCAGTACGGTGAGTGGTGCGATAGCCACAATAATTTGTAGGAGTAAAGGAAATATGATTGTTGCCCTCCCCCTCAGTGCTTACTGGAATGAGATAATTGATCATTGATTACACAGCGTGTGGTGAAGTTTGTGTGTATCTAAATAACCTCTTTTGGTTTTTACGAAACCAGAACTTTTGAGAAACCTCTTTTTTATAAATGACCCACTTCATTGAAAGGAATGTTCTCGCATGCTATTCTAGCTGCATCTTTTTTTTTACTGATGCTAGCCAGGTCACAGACCGTGTGAGTCTCTTTGGAGGGCCCAAACCAAGCACGGGGTGACCATACACACAGCGATGACATTCTACATTGGCATGCACCACCGGGCAGCGCAAAAAGAGAGACAGAGACAGAAACAAAGAGAGAGACAGCGACAGAGACAGAGAGAAAGGGAAGAGAGAAAAAGAGGGAGAGAGAGAGGGAGAGAAAGAGAAAGAGGGAGAGAGAGAGAGAGAGAGAGAGAGAGTGGAATGGAGAGAGGGAGAGAGGAAGAGAGAGAAAGAGGCCGACTTACTGGAGTTTGAGCTCCAGGCGTACCACTCGGCGTCGGACATGACGTAGTGCACCGTTCGCTGAGTGCCGTTCTCGATCACAACTGTATCGTTCACGAAGTTCTCTACGCACTTCTGCGTCAACACACCCATATAAATTTGCAGTCCAACTAAGGCGAACACGGACAAGGAGAACATAGTCAATATGATGACATCACGCAGGTTCTTCACTGATTCTATCACCGCACCAACAATAGTTTTCAAACCTGAAACGGAAAGAGCATTTTGATAGAACAGTATCTAAATCTATCCGAATACCTAATTATCTTCGGATCCAAGCGCACCTAAATGTCTTTTGATAAACTTTCAAAAGCCTTGAGGTGTAGTTTGTCGCATACACATGACATAATTTATGCCTGCCTAAAACCTTTCATACGGATGGGCAGTGCTAAGTCATTTTGAAATCCACTCTTCGCATCCAGTGTTCGTTTTCACATTGGAAAGAGTTGGCGTTGAGCTCACGGAGAGTTCACCAAGCATAACAGCTGCAGGCACATATCATGGACGGAAATAAGTCAAAAACGAGATACCGCTGATGTCTGGACTGAACTGCTGGCTGACGCAGAGTATGCAATGATGTCATATAATCTCCGACCCGCCGTGGAACGACACTTACCAGGCACAATCGCCACGGTCTTGAGAGCACGTAGGACTCGAAACGTCCGCAAGGCAGCAAGGTTTCCCAAATTTACACCCATGGTAACGAATCTGTGGACGGGAACAGATAAAGTGGGGTTATCATAACAAGCCAATCATCTATTCAAGCCTGTTGCATCTAGATGACGTACCCACAAAGAAGACACCATTATGTGCCACTGCCACCCACCGCCTCTTCATGCTTCGCATCTGTGAGCATCCGACACGACCAGATCTGGTACCATCACAGTCATCAAAAGAGGAGGTGCGATGTGGCGAACATTATGGCGCTACCACCCTCAGTGATCGGCTATGTATACCCCAATGCTTTCGGTATTGCCATCAGTCGCAAGCCCCTTCGTATTACTTACGCTAAAGCTATCACAACGAAGTCGAGCCAGTTCCACGCGTCCCGCAGATATGTGAACGGAGCTAAAATAAACCCCCTGGCCATGAGCTTCACAACAGACTCGAACGTGTAAATCGCCGTGAACAAAACTCTGCAAGAGAAGCACAAGAAACAGTGGTCAACCCAACAGCAACGCACGCGAAAATTGCAAATAGCAGAAGGCACATAATCTGTCATCAGTTGCACTGCACATTTCATTATTTCTGGTGAGGCTGGACTCCAAAAAATCAATATTATCACCATCTAGCTGCGATGAGCGTCTCAGCGTGGCTGCTGCTGTTGTCGCCTTTCCAAACGTCCGTTGAGTTTCCCCGGTATCGGCAACATAAGTTTCAGCGCGACTTAGTCCATCAGGTGTATCAGGCAGCGACAATCCGTCGGCACACAAACACCGCAGCTCCCCGAACCAGGCCCATCTGAGGGCGACCGACTACTCACTCGCTGGCTTCAATGGTCTCACTGGCCGGCATGACCATGACGACGCAGTTGGAGATGATGGTCATCATGATGATCAATGAGAACAGGGAGTGAGTCAGGATGTAGATAGCTGACCGACGGATCGAGTTGAACGGGTCCAGGATCCACAACGCTGCTGAGGCACTGAATCGATATATATCGAGCCCCTTGTTCACCACCACGAACGTCTGGAAACACAGGATGGCCGCTGTCAGTCGGTCGCCTAGGCTCCACAGAAGGATCTGGATAACAGCTTGACAAGCGCATCATGAAAGCAACTAAGCTATTAACCAACATCGGCAGTTATTAGTCGGGAGGAAATAACTTTTCAAGAGACTGCTCCTCCTGCAAGAAAAAAAATATTGAAGGAAGATTTGAGATCAGCGACAATCTATTTTCATGGTAATGCACAGTAATGCGATGTAACATATATCGTCTTTGATTTACTATGTGAAGAGACAGACAAGAAGCCCTCAGTATGTTTCAAAGTTGTGTTACATGCACGGCACATTCGTCATTGCTGTTGACGCGCTCTTGGAAATCCTGACGCACACTTAGACATGGGCGAATACAATCATGGGTTGCAATGTTTTTCACTTGATGCATGGGACACATCGCTGCATGTAGAGAAAAAAATGAACTTGAAAATATGACCTTATTTTCACAAATGGTGTGCCCAGGGCACGTGCTAATACAGAAAACAAACGACCTTGAGGCCTCCTGGGTCATTTTTTGCATTAATAACCTGACCTTGGTCCTGATGACTTGTTTTTGCCGGTGTAACTACCGTGAGTCTTTTTTGCCGCTGGCTGTCATGGCGACCGATGCGACCCATTCCACGGTTTAGTGCATACTGACCGCCACTCGTACACCCACACTTGACCTTCTCGACCCCCACCCCCAGTACGCACCTCGCCGGCAGCCAGCCCGGATCTGGCGGAGACGAATCTGGGGCAACTCCCGCCAGGTGACCCCAGCTCACCACGCGCCGGCGCGATCAGAGCGCACGCCCGCCTGACCCCGCCGTTCACCGCAGCGACCCGGGTCAAGCATGTCTTGGCAGCGGGCCGTATTGGGCGCGCATTATTCAGCAGTGGCCAGCTGCGGAGGCCGCCGATGCCTAATTGCCGACGGTCGCCGCCAGGCGGGCCGTCTGTCGCCTCCAGCCAACGACCCACAACCGTCCGGACGGCATGCATGTTTGATGATTTTCGTCAACCAACAATCGAACGCCACTACTCAATATAACCATGGCAACGCCGAAACAAAGTTGTGAAAAATGGACATTATTCAGGGGCGCGCGCGCCAGCAAAGGTAAGGCGGCGCGGCGGCGGCGGCCGGCGGGCGCCGGTGGACGGCGCGGCGCGCGCCGCGCGCGGGCGATAATAGACAGCGGCTGGTGATGGGACTCCATTGTGCCGACTGCACGCCGCTCGTCGTGCCGCTATCGGCCGGACAATGGGGGCCGGCGGGGAAGGCCGGGCGCTGCGCCGCTCGGTCGCAGGTGGCGCCGCCGCCGGCCAGCCCGAGGTCAGGGTCGTCGCGGGCGGCGGTCGCATTACGCGGCGGGGTGACCTCCGAGCGGCGCGCTGCGAACGCTCGCAACCACGGCCGGGCATAGGGAGGGCTCAGACAGATCGGGACGGCAGAGCTCGGGTTTTTAGACGGTAAGAGTTTGGCAAATTTTGGTTATTTCTACTAGACATGCACTTAAATATGTTAAGCCACCTAAAGTGTCGTTCGGGACAACTTTTGAATGTTTTTTTTAGGGCGACAGCTTGTGAAGGAACCAACGGATAAGTGCCCGCCTATATTTAGGCCAGACCTTGCACTTTGACCAAAACAAATCATTCGGGCGCATTACAGCCGGCTGCCCACTTTGAACTTCCACGGTTGCACGGAGGCCAGCGCTGGTCCGCCTGTATGACCCTGGAGCTCGTGCCGGTGAGTTGTTGATGGTTCGGGGGATGCCGTGCTGTCACGGTACGGTGGCATCCTCCCGCCCTGTGCCGTCACGTCACGGTCGCCCGTCACGCGGGCCCGGCCGCCATGCCCTCGACCGCCGTATCGACCCGGCGGGCACTCCGTGATTACCCGGCGCCGACGCCGGCCCTCCGGCCATGAAGCGCTTTATGCGATGATTACTGCATACGGAACGCAGGCTCGGCGCTCTTTTAGCCAATCAAGCGGCGCGTACCGGTCCTCAGCGCGGGAATGACACGGCGGCCACGCAGCGCGCACGAGGCAGCTTCGACCCGGCGATCGTCTTTCGTTGAGGCGTTTTCCACCCGTCACTTGGAGGGGTGATCAGTGGACGCCTCCCATGCGGAAGGGTGATGGCCACGTGATGTGCCATAACCGCCGGGGAGGGGCGAGGGTCGATCGGTGCCAGGCTGTGGAATGCGGTCGTCGGTGGATGTCCCGGTGTGGCGTGGTGATGGTTTTGCCAGAAGTGTTGTCGAAACTAGGGCTGACATGGACATGGGTAGTTGCCGCGGAAGGCGGTCCGCGAAACGGTTATGTGCAATGTCCGCGGTGTGCGGGTATGCGGTCTGATGAGACACGTGTCCTACAGAATATGGGCCTTTGTTATTGAAACCGTAAGATGGGTAGCGGAAGAAAGGGATGAAGCATTCAATCTCGGTCTAGTATCAAACTACACGTATAGGGTCTCGTACTGAATATCTGGCTCAACAAAGCGCCTTGATTCCAAGCCCAGCACAACACGCCCGTCCTGGTCCCAGGTCTAACACGGCACAGTGTGTGGTAGTCCCAGATTCAACAAAGCACGCCCGTCCCGGTCTCGAACCTAACACGGCCCCGCTCGTCCCGGCCTCACGTTCGCCATGACACAGTGCGTCTCGGTCCCGTGCTGAACACCATGAAGCAGCCCGCGCTCGAGATCTCCCACAACAAAGCGTGTCCCGGTCCCAGGTCTTCCACAATCCAGCGTGTCCCGGTCCCAGGTCTTCCACAATCCAGCGTGTGCCGGTCCCAGGTCTTCCACAATCCAGCGTGTCCCCGGTCCCAGGTCTTCCACAATCCCGTGTCCGACGCGGCCGGTCACAAGCCGCCGCCGGGCATTCCCCGCGGCCCGCCAACGGTGGCAGGCCGCGGGCCGTCTCCACAAACAGGCGGCTGTATGGTGGAGGCTGCCGTCGGCCGGCCGGCGGCGTGTTTTCGCCGCGCCGGCGCCGATCAGGCCGGCCCGCGCCGCCGCCGGGGTCGGCGCCGGCCGGACGCCGTCTCCGCCGACAATAAATCCATCATCGCAGGGCGGTCGGCGCGCCGCCGCCGCCGCCGCCTGGCTTCTCAGAGGGCGGCGGCGGCGCAGTGGCGGCGCCAGGCGGTGCGCGGGGCCGCGCCGCCGGACTGTGGCTGCGGCGTCCGGTAGGCGCTGCACAAGGTTCGAGAATTTAGGTGCTGTGCTTGACCGTGGCCGATGTCTGGAATCCAATGTTTGTTTGGTGTCCGACCGACGCGAGTATGGGCAGTGCGAGGTAGAGGCTGGGATGGGAGGCGCCATTTGCACGTGCCCTCGCAGCTGAAGTGCCAAAAAAGAGCTCTGTCTAAGAGCTGATGAGAAAATTCCGTGTATTTCGAAATGAAGTAAAGTGCAGCACATTATGTCTCTTATTAGTTGCGTGCTTCTACGGTGATTCATATTTTCATTTATCGGATTGCTTGCAACATCGATACTCGTGTTTTCAAGCCGAGAAAACTATACGAAGTACGCTCTGGACATCGGAGCACGGGCCAGGCTTAGTGGGAAACATTTAAAACGAGTAATTGACCAGGAAGTTTGAGGCAAACCCACTTGAGCTTCTGCGCATGATAAATGCTGGCTGGTGCTAATTTAGCACAAGACAAATTGCTGGCACTCGCGAGCTGTTCCACCCAAACTGCACCCAAACTACTGGAAGTGGCACTGCTCGGTGGCAGGTCGGGGTGAGCGATGCGGCAGTCGCGGCTACCCACGTGCCTGCATGCCGGGGCAGGGCAGCGACCTGGAGTGCCGGCCACTGTGAGTCACAGCCCCGATCCGTGGAATACAACTGTGCCAGTTATTGGCCATGGTTGTAGTTTCCTGTTAAGTTTAAGCTTTCCGCTCGCCCAACCCATCCACACTGAGGAAAAGTCAAAAGAAATCAGTCAAAAGAAAGGGATCAGTGTGTAAGAACGCCAACTCTGTTCCATGCAGCGGAAAAGCGATTCATGTCAGTAAAGTATTTTGTTCCGCTCGCCTCAAGTAGCTGCTAAAAAGGCTATTTTCTACATCTCGATGTTATCTGTTCTCACGCCGACCAGTCCCTGCCGCGTGCCGTTACATAAGCCATGCTCCTCCCTCAAAGGCTAGTGTGGCAGGAGGCCCGCACAGCTGGTGCTAACCCCTCTTTTGCTCAGCTCCTGTTCACAGTCCGTAATAACTGGCTCTCAGCTCAGCACTGATTAAAGGCCCCCAACTCATGCTCCGTCTGTCCACAGCGTTCCTGCAGATATAATAAATCCAATTCCCGCTCAGCACCTGTCCGCAGCTCCCCCAAACCGCCTGCCCGCCCAGCACCTGTCCGCAGCTGCCCCAAGTGACCGGCCCGCCCAGCACCTGTCCGCAGCTCCTACTCACCCGCTGGTTGTGGTAGAAGGGGTCGATATCCTCGATGGGGACGCCGATCAGCTCGGGCGGAAAGTCGGGCTTGATGCGCATCGGCAGGTTGTTGCCGGCCTCCAGGGTCGGGTCCGGCTGGGGACCGTCGTCCTCGTCCTCGTCCTGGTACACCACCTGGACCGCAGCGTCGGCAGGAGGCGTCAGCCGGCGCGTGGACCAGGCACCAGAGCGGGCTCGGCTAGTGCCGACGCACGGACGCATACTCGCCGCGTGTCGGCACCACCCGGGTGCAGACGCGGCTCAGTCACTGGTGTCCGCCGCGAGCGCTGGGGATCAGGCTGGACAGGAACGCTACGCTCGGGTGTCAGGTGCGGTCGATGATGTTGCCGCGAGTGGTACTAAGCTTCTCACCTGGTAGATGGCATCTTTTTCACAGGAGTGAAGCACGTTATGTTGGCCCACGAGCAAGGTCAGATCAAAATAAGAGCGGGGTTGATCGCCGCCCAGGAATTTGACCGTAGGCGTTATTTTCCCACAAATTTAATCAGCCAATGTCTGAGCGCACCCTCGACCATTCTGTAAACAGAGGGCATACACCCCGACCGGGTGCAAAAAGCAGCTGCACTTCAGGTAGGGAGTGCCAACAAACCGCATGAATATCCTGTGTGGTGCGTTTGCATCCACAAGGATGAACACAGACATTCCCAGCCTGCGGCCAGTGACTGACGAAATGACTTAAAGTTGGCAGGTCGGGAACCACCCTGTGTCCTCACCAGCGTGTCCTCGATTCGATAATGACTTGTGTCAATGGATAATTTGGTGAATTGGGACCGATTCAATAGCCCTGCTGGCGGCTCGCATTGATCGATCATGGCGGCCGTGACCGGCGCCGGCAACGTCACTGACGTCACTCGCCAACGAATCGTGACGTCACTGACTGACATGCTGCATTGCTACTGGCCGACACGACGCGGCGTCACCGCTTGACGTCATAGTGTGGTGGCACTGTCCGTTATGGAATGACATCGCTAGCCGACACAGTGTGACCCTACTAGCGGACAATGAGAGAGGTATGGACCGGTGCGACACGCCGACCAGGCGTGTGACGACAGTGACAGCCACAGTGTGATGTCACTGTTCGGACCGGTGAGGAGATATGGCTGCTGGGCGACGTCATTAACCGAAGCAGTGTGAACAAAGTAACTGGTGCCAGGAGTCCCCCGTGGCAAAAGGCTATCATCTCATTTCCACACTCTTGGAAAGAAATGAATCTACTGTAAAAAGAAAATGGCCTTAGACTACGGGGTTGGTGGGAAGAGTAAGGCTTGATGGTGCAGGTTAGTCATTATTTTTCCATCTTCAATCAAACGTTTGCCAGTGCTTTTCATTACCATCGGTCATTTTGAGCTTTAAATAGCATATATTCTACGTAAGCTTTTTTAGAAATTGTGAGGCAGAAAATAAGCACTTCAGCTGCTTAAAGAGCGGCTCAAATAGCGCAGAAAAAGCTCAAACGACGCTTCTGCAACACTTGTCCTTGGTGATCTATATTGAGTTGTGAATATTGGGTTGTGTTGAGTGTGGTGGTCGGGGTTCGTTTCGGCTGGTTCTAGTTGGGTTCGGCTGGGTTTCCCTGGGCTAAATTAGTTCGGGCTGTGCCGTGTTGGATCGATCATTGGCCACTCAAGCTTCGTAAAGTTCCATGCCGCCCGTTCGATAGCTATTCCAATGCTGACTCTGCAAGACGTCAAGCAAAGCTCGGTAATGTATGAGCCGGGCCGGTCAAGGTTAAAAGAGGTAGAACTTGACGCTTTCATGGTAAACATTTATACTCAAGGGACTGAACTTGTTCAGAAGTTTATCATAAACATCGAGTAAAATGGAACACCGATGATACGGCTGGCGGGGAGCGCAGGATGCAAAATTTAACAGATTGTACCTACTGATAAGATGAGAAAAAGGGACGCAGATTAAGAGATAGGGGTTCACACAAATTTTGGCGAGATTCAGTGTAATACCTAGGCGGTTACAGGTGTATGGGCGGCTTTACATCGACTTTCCCCTGGAACTATAAAGCGAGAATGCTTCTGATATGAGCGATTAAGTATGCACAGCGTAACATGAACCTCTCTGTTGTTTCACTGGAGAGCTATGTGGGTGACCTCATCGAGATCTTGTCTCCTCAAGGTCAAGTTGAAAGGACATCTCAATCACAATGATCAGGGTAAACAGATGCGGCAACCTACAGAAACGCACCCATGAGAAAATGGGATACGAATACAGCAAAGTCGCTGTTTCATGGTACCTTCAGAAGCTAGCATCAGAATCATCATGGTTACTCTTATCGATAACTGCATGTCAAGTTATGTCCTGGCTCCCGTCGGACAATAGACACAAGTGCATGCAAGCAGTCGCTTGGGGCTCACACCCGATAAGCACCAGACCGCAGAACGGTCCGACATTCGTTGCGCATTTAGCTGACTCACTGGGGATCGCACGGGGAGGAGGAAGTACGCTTCTAAAATACAATAAAGTGGCGTATTCCGTTACCTCTTCACATTTGTACTGGTACAGACCATTACAACATTTGCTGAAAATACCTGCATATAGACGGCGAGCCCTCAATCCCGGGCCCCTGACGAGCACACTAACGTCATGCCAGTGCGGTGGTGACCCTGCCAGCTGCAATTTGCACCGGGGCGCGAGGCATGCGCTGACTTCGCAAGCACCAAGCGGAAGTCATCCCATCTCAAGGCATGCCATGCACCGGAAGCGCGTCAGCGGGCAAAAGCCAAAGCCTGGTGCGTGCAGCGGCGTCCGGCGCCGACCCCGTGGGGCGGGGCTGGCGACCGTGGCATTTCTGCTGGACTACATGAGGACGCTCGGACGCGCGGAGTGATGCCCCGCTGTGCTAACTAGACCAACCGTCACTAGTGCTAACCGCCGTCAGTCTCGTACAGTGCATGCCGTCGATGCATCTGTGAGTCGTGAGGAGGTTGTTTGCAAATGTTTCCGGCCTTTGCGCACGTTCTCAGTGCGCGGTAGTGACTCATCTGAGCGGGCTATGGGAATTTCTGCACGGAGGCATTACGGCATCCTGCTCCTTAGGTGGTGGACTTCAAGAGATGTTTAAACGTGTCTGTCATATTTGCGCTTATTCACATGCGGCATGTAAACAGCGCTGAAAACGCCGTTTTTACCCTGGCTTTTGTCAGCTATTTCATTTTGTTCCTGCCGCAAAAACGTGCTTGTAAATGGTTACTTCATTCTCGCTGACTACGGTGCCAGGAACGAAGTCAACAAGGAATCCAATGATAAATAATGGCTGCTTGGAATGTAGTAACCAAAGTGATATGGCAATCACCATCCTCCCGAAAGCAGCTTTAGAGCGCGGCGCTGCTTTAAAGCCTATGCAACCCGATGCGCTAGTTTAGCCGCCTTGAGCACCGGCGTCGCCCACACTCCGCGCCCAGCCGCCCTTTCCCCATACTGAGCGCCGACCGGCCGCCTCCAGCCAGTCCACCGCTCAAGTATACGTCCCGAGGGCACTATTTCGCGCCGTCTGACGCGTCGCGCGATTCGACTGCTCGATCTGGCGCTGGCTGACCGGAGAGCGAGCCTCGCTGACGTGGCCCCCGGCTCTGCCGTTGGCTGTGGGTCGCAGCGCCTGGCTCCGGCCGGCCGCGGTGGGGCTCGTTGTCATTCGTGCCGTGCCCAGAGCAGCTCCCACGGGCCATCGGGGCAGGGGCTCCGGGCAGGGAGCCCATCGCAAGCGGACCTGCCTTGGCGCGGGTCGACGAGGCGCGCTGCCCCGGGGTGGAGAAGACGGCCGCAGCAGCAGCAGCTGCTGCTGGAGGGACACCCCAGAGAGGTCGTGTCTGGGGTCTGCCGTCGCCGAAACGACGATCGACAGCAGTCCACCCGAGAACGATTTCAAGAGCCTCATTGTCATCCAAGGCCTCGCTTCGGTCTGCCCGACTAACCGGGCTGGCAGGGGATCGACGGCGATGAGCAGCTACGACGGTCGCTCCGTCGGCTATTGTCCGGATTTCAGTCAGCATTCGCACAATGTCTTCGCGCGTGGTTCATGTCGCCATCAGCGGTCTGATGTTGACTTATGCTGGGACGAGGGAGCAGGGCCGACGAGTCTATTGCTATGAGTCTATGCGTCAGTTCATCGCCTGTGTGCGCTGGGCTTCTCCTAGGCCACTATGGCAGTCTCTAGAGAACTCGCGGTCCGTCTAACGGCTGGTCTAGGCTGAGGCGGGCTCGCCACGGGAAACAAACCTCGTCTGTTTCGTGTACCGACGGCGCGGCGTAAGCGGATGCTCTGCGGCGCTGGGTGGGAGGCGAAAGCATCGGGTGAAAGACAGTTAGCGGGGGTGAATGAAAGAGAGAGGGGCGAAAGAAAGATTAGCAAGAGAAGGCACACATCCAAGAGAGATATCGCAGTGACATGTCATGGTACATGAGTGCGGCTACTTGTTTGCGGTAGAGGATAACCAAATGGCACAGCAAGAAGCTTTGGTAGGGATGCACTTTAGCAGCGAGGCGAGAGAAAAATAAGAATATGATTACCAAAATAGGAGGTGCAGCATATATGAGCATGTTACGAATCATAAAAGTTCAGAAAAAATTACAACTTTGCTGTCTTACTGGTGCCGATCAGAGCCGAAAGGAACAGACAAAGGTCGTGTCCGATTCACATTCACTACGGTGATCCTCCCCTCAAAAACTAGCAAGTAGTTAAGGTTAAAAATTGTTCTACAGCACAGATAAAAAGAAACAATATCTGAGATCCACAGAAAGGCTGTAGTAAAACTTCATGGCATTCGATATGCATTCGTAATTCGCAAGAATGACACACTCGAAACTTTCTCCAGCATTGTTTGCATGCACCGTTTAACGAAAGAAGGCTGTGCTTTTTAGCAGAGGCTGTTCACTAGAACCGCTCAGCCCGAGATCCTCTACGAATGCATGTTGTTCCGTTCTTATAGTTATGTACAACTGTTTATTCGTGGCTCTAGGGTGCAGTCCAGTCATTTTGCTTACTTCTTTCTTTTTTCTTCTCCTTCCTCTAATGGATGTCTCCTGCGACTGAGAGAGAAATAGAAAGAGGGAAAAGACAGGCGTAACAACAGCAAGAGAAGACGAAAGTTGCGATAGCGAGAACAAGAACCATCCAGACACACGAATACGTAAGTATCCCAAGGCCGACATTAACATCGCAGCACAGACGGCAGCATGAAGGACAAGCTCAGAGCCATGGCAATAGTTTTTCTTCTTACAACAGCCATTACGTTATGCATTCGTTTATTACGAGGGGCTGCATGAGCCCTAAGCTGTGCTGGCGCTCTGAGCTTGTAGTTATTACTCACAACATTCAAGGGCTGTACCAGGCCCTGACACACCAAAAAGATGAGCACTGCCACCCATGCCGACAACATACAAGCCAGCTGAACGATTTACATTTCTCGAGGAGGCCGGAGACGGGGAAGTCTTTGATGAAAAACGTGCCATAATGCATGTTGGCTTAGATTCACCATGTTGGTGCCAGAAAATCCAAATGAAGATGACATGAGGAGAAAGGTCCATCGTTCATGCCAAAACAAGTAACTAGAGAGTTGTGGTAAAACACAGTCCGTCGATGCCAGAGTTATGCGGCGATAGTTTGGCCGCCAAAGAATATCATCGACATACACATGTATCTGCTTTCCAGTAATACTACAAACACGAAATATAAGCACGTGAACTAAAATAACGAACAGCTGTCACCTACCTCTCCTTCTTCCTTCTTCTTTTGTAGTTCCTTTTTCTTTGCATTTTCTTCATCGATGCGAGCTTCGATGGCCGCTAGTGTCTCTCGCGTGAAGGGCTGAAAGATGCTACGTTCTTCGTCGTCTAGTATCGAGTCTGAGTCGTCGTTCATCGTTCTGGGGACACCTCACGCCGGGCAAGCGCTGAGGTATAGCACTGAAACGGCACACACAGTGCACTCATCACCTGGGGATAACAGGATATGAGCGCATTGTTCACCGACTGGGAGAAATGCAGCATCATTGAGATGTTGGTGAATGACCAAGGGATTTTCGGGTTTCGGGATGAAAGGACAGACCATCGGCCAGGCGGAGTGGAAAATACTGAGAAGAGTGCAGGTGTGATATTATGACCTATGCGAGCGTGTAGTTATCAGGCTTTGGATGGAATCAGTACGAGTTGAGATTGAACGCCTCTAATATAAAAACAGCAGTGTCCTATAGGACTCGTTTTGTGGCCATGTCTTGATGCATGTAGCACAAATGACAAGCTGAGCAATGGTTCAAGTGATGCTCGTTGTCAAGAGAAAATACGACAATAAATATTGCAGAGCAGTCATATCAAAACGGCAAATGGTGTTTATCGTTATGTCAAGAATACTAAGAAATGTAAAATTGACTGCAATGCTTAAACGGAAAATTTGGGCTTTATCTGGTCAGCGTTGCTGAAAAAATTTGGCGTTCAAAACAAGCAGGAACAAACAGCACTGGTAACAACAAACAGCAACAGACAGCAACAAGCGGAACAAGCACTGGTAGCATGTGACCTCCGTTTTAAATGAGTGATCTTATCTGCGAGACAGAGACAGACAATGGCTGGGCGAGCTGTTGTTCGACTGAGCCAGTCGTTTACACGTCTTCCACCGGACGGGACTCTCTCACTAGATGCTAGCCAGATGGCCCGCATAAAAATGTTAAGCTAGCCTTTCTTGGAAAATGAACGTTGCACAACTATTCACAGGGCCATTTCAAAGTAAGATCAAACCACGCTAACTTTAGGCATTCACTGTTAATGAAAAACAGCTGGGCTTTATAAACTTTCAGACTAAAAAAGCTTGAATGTCCTTTCATAAACTGTCTTAAAAAGAGCTTTAATGACTCTCAACGACTAGAGATCCGGGGCCTGTCTAGTGATGGACGCTGCCAAGCTCTTTAGGACGCCTCAACAACGCCATAGGAGCTGTAATCGATCGCCAACCGCGTATGACATATTACATATGACATATCTGTGAGCATCTGAGGCATGGTTGAATCTGCACAAAACAAACGTTAGCAGTTGTAGTAGAAGGTATGACGTCCACATGCGGGTTATTTTTCCTGCACCAGCCTACATCGAGATGAAAAACAACAATGTCGGGCATGTGCTGTTGGACACTCAACAACGCTGACGTCGGAAACTCACGAAGTGTTTAGGGGTGAGAAAAGTCAGTTTTCAATAATTTCTTTCCTTGCAAAACATAATGTTGGCGTCAGTTTTCTTCCTCCCTTCCCCTCCCTAATTCATCCCCTCTACTTGACACCAGTGGTGGGGCATTATGTCACATCGTAAGGATTTTGAGTAAGGACTGATTTTCACCATGATAAGGGCGTCTATGTTGGCCAAAAGATGGCACGACTGCCTTCACCACGAGTAACATGGTCCAAGAGAATTACTGCCATCCCGCTTCGGACTGCGAGCTAGATGTCAATCTTCCCAGAACCATCCATGTGCGTTTGATTTAAACCGATTTCGTTGCCGTTCTTTGAGCTGCCTCCTGCTGTTGCTGTGTCACGCTGTATCATAATAGAAAAGCATTAATCTGTTGATATGCGAGTGAGTGTGAGCACAGTGTCACCATCAGCTATGTGTGATATACATGCTCAAGAATCACATCTACGGTATGATTTTACGTAGGAACGCCAAGTCACCCTATACACTATCGAAAATGGACTTTCTTTTGTGTTTAATAGGAAATGACTTCCTAGTAAGCTGTTCTAGCACATTGTTGGGCGCAAGCAATATTGAATGCGCTCTAATGAGTGTTATAGTTTAACACGAAAGGAAAATATATTTACTCATGCAAATCGTATGCAGATAAACTCGTCCATAATCAACTTGACAGCTTTTCTTATGCAGATATCAGTCGCGGTGATGTGATCATGTAGGGATCTGCAAACGGGATGCCGAGGATGATGAAACGGCGTTAAACAAAACGATGCGAAAGATCTTTGCCTTGATTTGCGGGCTTAATTCCAAGAAAGTGCGTCCGTTTCCCCGCTCCTTATCGGCTTGTTTTATTAACCACCAAATTCAGAAGTCTCCTGCAAAAATACTGGCTGTTTTTTCACTTTGAGGCATCGCTTTCAAGTATATGAGTAAGTGGCATGATACGCTTCGATAGATGGTCATCTAACGAACAAAATTTATCAAATTTAAAGGCCTAATGAAAGCCGAGGGCAGAAACTATTTAGCTCCTCTCAAAGGCCCCCGAATCAGCGGACGGGAAACTTGCTGCCGCGCGATCGAGAGAGTTGCCCGCGCATCAAACGCTGCGGCAACCACCCCAATCGCAGCGCCACAGCTCCGACCACCGGGCCCGCGGGAGAGGCGCGTCACGGACCAACCGGTGGCCGGCGAGCGTGCCGCGGGGCACCAGCGGTGGCGCCCCGGGGGCCGTCACCACGCCCGACCCGGGCCTCGTCCGAGCGCGGCGCCGACCGCCGCCGGCCGGCGGTATTGATCTGCACGGCGGTACGCCCACCCGACGTGTTTTCAGACAGCTCCTCCTGAATTCCGACATTGCCGGCCGGTCGGGCCGCTGCGCAACACGGCCGCCGGGCGGGCGGCCCGGCGCGGCGCCGGCCGCCGCGGCCGCCGCCCGGCCGCCGCGCCGGACCGTCTGAATATTTCAGGGTTGTATGCCGGCCGGCCGGCTGGCGCACTCGCTCCCACCACAAGCTCTGAATTATTCCGGCCGGCCGGTCACGCAGCGGCGTTGCGGCCTCCGGAGGGTCGGCGCCTGTCTGGTCGGGTCGGGTCTGGTTGCGCCCACCCCTGCCCGAGTCGGCGGGCGGCGGATGCGCGCGAACGCCCCCCCCCCCCCCCGCGCTCCCTCCCACCGTCCGGTTATTTGTCGGGCGCGCTCGCGAGCCGTCGCCACCGAGCAGCCGCGTTTTTCGTGTTTGCCCGAATGCTGAGGTCGATGGTGGGCGTCGGCGGTGGTCCACTTAGCCGCTGTTATGCTGGCCGCCTCGCAGGGCATTGATCCGGGCGGTGCCGAGCCGTCCGCCGCCGCGCTGACCCGCTTAATTGCTCAACTTGCCGGCGTAGCGCGCGGTGCCGGCGGCTGCGCGACACGGCTGCCGTTCCTGGCGCTGCGTCACCGCCGCGTGTCACTAGGCGGGTCACGCGCCCTGACCCGTCGGCGCCTGACCCGCTGGCCTGCCCGTGACCTGACCTCCCCTTGCTATTTGCCAAAGGTGCTAAACATATTTGTTCGCCCGTTGCAGTTTCAGGAGGTCCATCATACCGATAGGAGACCCCAGATGACAGGAACAGAACCTTTCGTCAAATTAAAAGGAGGGCCCTTGGGACATCCAAGAGACAATATCGGCCCCGTAGCAGGTTCTAGATGGCCGACTTCAGGTACTGATGATCGACGAAATACTCCGGATGATCGGAAGTGGTCTCCATCAGATGTGTGAAGGTTCGTAAAAATACCGGTAACCCCATTAGGCGAACATATGGTCCCATTAAACCAAGAGGAAATTTTATTTAATTATTTAGACTTAACGAATGAGTCCTTCTGACAAATGGTTGGAATCTGAAAGAAATTTAAATAAGGATTCAGGTAAGAAGCCCCGGATGTATTAAGGAGGCCCCATCTGCCTGCCCCACTTGGAAAAGGTGATATCGCACCCATGCAGAGATGTTTACACATCAGTAATACAGAGCACAGCCATACATTCCCATGTCAATGTTCCCATACTTGTAAGTGCCTGCACATAGCGCGGCTTGGGGCCGACGTGCTCCAGCCAGTGCGAGAAGCAGCTGGACACTACACGTGTGATGCAGTCTTCGGCCGTGTTTCTCTTTATCGGCAGTTAATCGGTGGGCCCTGATCTCAGAAATCCATGAAATCCAAATGTTCAGTCTAATGAAAAACTTGAGATGCGTGTGCATTGCCCATCAGTACCCAGCAGCATTCCGCAGTACCTTTGACATCAACCGACATAGGTGCGGAAAGAGTGGACGTGGCAATCCTTTGGTTGGTTTCTATGACGACCGCGCTACGGTGATCTTCGAAGAGCCTGGCTGTCTACCTAGCCATCCATGGGAAACAGCGAACTGGTCGGGCTGTTGCCTAGAAAGCGCGAAGAAAGCATGAGTGTTCCGTCGGCGACCGCGGGAAGAGGTGCTTGGTTCCTAAGGCGTGCTGGAAAAGGGCTTTGTATTTCTCCCACTTTGATGTCCACAAAGGAGAGCTCTTGCTTCGCCTGAAAATACTTATGGTAGCTCGAAATTCCAAGGTGCAATAGGTTTCAGTTCAGTGACCATATACGGTACTGCCTCGCATATAACGCACAGTATATATGCACATATATGACAATATATATATATATATATATATATATATATATATATATATATCACAGCTTATCTATCATGTTGGACTGCTTATTTGCAGTTTAAAATCTGGGCGCAATTGCAGGGTGGATTCCTGGCCAGTTGTCTGTGATAAATTGTCCATAATGTGGTACGCTAACGTGATTCCCTGTCTCTACCTTCGCACGGAAGAAAACTTGTCTCGAGTAATGGCGCTTATGTGAAGTACCGAAGACCAGAAAAATATCCTACAGGCCCAAAAGATCAAGACGTAGGGATTTAAAGGAGGGAAAATCGTACGGCCGACCCGACGCTAAGAGAGCAGAGATCACCCGCGAACCATTAACGCCCCTGTTGCATTATGTATGCCTGACATTTTACAGAGAGACAGGCGCAGCCAGTCGAGGACGATGAGTGGGTGGAAACTTAAATCGCTCCCCTGACTCGGGAAGGCAATTACCCGCCATTTAGGTCTGAAATTAGCCAGTGCTACAAATATAACGTGGTGATTAACTTGACGCTCAAATAATCTGGCTGCCCCAATTTCAGCACTTCAGGTCAGTGAACTCTCATCCAACGTCCTGCCTCACACTTGAGAAGCGCAATTACAGATGCAACTATCAACACAGCCGCGTTCCCGAGCTCTGTTCTGAGCACATTCTCCACTCCCCTCTCGATCCAGTCCACAACGTTATGTCCGACCCCCTCTTTGGAAATGATCTGTCGTCGTTACTGGTCGCCGGAGCCGGGTCAGGGCGATCAATGAGACCGCGGTCGGCCCGGCTCCCAAAGGTCACCCACTGGGGTCAGAGGGCGGATGCTCCCGACCTGCGAACTGTGCCGGACCCGCGAACCGTTCCCGGCGGGAGAGGACCGCGTGACACGCTCGTGTCGCGCTTTGACGAGCAGGGACACTGCTGGGCAGGCTGTTGATCGACTGAGTGGAAAGATGACCTTATCTTGGCGCTAGATTTGCGCTCTCGTAGGCTGGTTTAGTATGCGACAAGAAATGTGATCACATGCTGTTAGATATGCTGTCCACCAGTGCTCCACAAACATATAGCTAATTTGTGAGTGATTCTACACCCACAAAGCTGATTTATCAGCACGTGTGTTTTCTTGGACAATATGGACGAACGAAGCGGCATCATTAGTTGACGAGTAATCCAGAATGCCCCGCTTGCCGTGCGTAGGATTAGTCGGGCTAGAAGACACAGCCTGAGACCGGAACTTGCCGGCGATAGCACTTACCCATTTACACTTCGTGCTCTTCATACAAGGTCTTCATGTCCACTCAGAAACAGAAAACATCAAACCTGAAACAACGGAGAGGTCGCGGTGAGCAAACCGAAGGAGAAGGAGGCTGGGCACACAACTAGCACTTATGACCGACTTCGGCGCGCAAGTGGCCTTGCCGTCCTCGTCGTGCGAGAAACTCTTCTCTGGAGCAGCGGGGTTGATTTGTGCCGAAAAGCTCGCGGTCTTGGGGCAGCACTGGAGCGCGTCCGAACGTATCGAGAGCGGTCGCGCATCGCACCTGTACGGAACAGCAGCCGGCACCCAGGAGGCGACGCCTGCGCCAGCTCCGCTGCTCCTCACACAAACTGGAGTCAGCCTCTGTAGCGTGGATCACAGCGGGCCCGGCGCCCGCGTGCGCTCAGTCCCAGCCTGCGGCGGCAGGGGTCCGGCCGCAGGGGCCCGGCCGCGGCTGTCGGGGGCTCAGCCAGGGCGCGGCGCCCAGGCCGGACGGCGGCGCCCAACACCCTGGCGACGTTCGACACGCGGCCAGCCACCGCTATCGCAATGCGGCGGAGCGGCCGGGCGGCCAGTCGACGCGGTCGATAGCGTGCCGACAGAGCCGCCGCCGGGCGGCCCGGGTCGCCAAGGCCGGCCGGCGCCCGCCCGGGCGGACCGACCCCGCTCCAGCCGGCCGGCCCGGCGCCGCGGGCAGCGCCCGTGGCCGGGGCACGGCAGGGCACGCGCTGCCGACGGCGGCGATGGCACGCAGGTGGACGTGACCAGCCGTAGTGATGGACTCACGGGCCGGTGGCGAAAAACCTTCGCAGTGAAGGCCACTTTGAGCTCTGGCGGATTCCATGGCCCACTAGCGGCCCATGTTGCCAGTGCAGCATATCTTTTAACAGCAGGGGAGAGCGCACCTGAGCATCCCGTCCCCCGGCATTGCGGCATTCGCTGGCTGTCGTATCCCAGCGCAGTTTCTGTTAAACCAGAGCACCCGACTAACCTACGGGTGGACCCAAATTGGCATCCTTGGAGCGGCCAACGACATCTCGACAAATGGCCGCGATGAGCGGAGAGCTGGCAGACATCAGCCTTCCGTGGAAATTAAGCTATCTTGCCATTGAAACAAATAAGTCAAGACGGAAGGGAGGGTGGAAATCGATGGGGGAAGACGTAGAGCGAGAGGAGAGAGACCCACAAAAGGTCAGAAACAAGAGGAATAGGACGAAAAGGCATGGAGAAAAGGGATGAAAAAACAAAATGTTGAATGTATAGTCATAAACTGACGGAACGTGCACAAGCGGCGGTAAATATCTGCTTCATCACACTGAGATAAATGGATATTTACGTGGTGGTTCCCCTTAGACGGTCCCTGGACACTAGCATAAAGATCTGTGCTGCGAGGCCTTTTATTCAGGCGGTCTTGACCATCGATCAGCATTGGATCTTTGTTTTCGCATTGATGCTGCGTTTTACCTGTTGCGTCAGGTCCACGGCAACTTACGCAGGCGACGCGTGACGAGCTGTTCACCGAAAAGACTCTTCCAGTGGTAATGCGAAGAACTGCACTGCATCGGATGAATAGCATTTCATGGAGTTATGTCAATAGAAGATCCCACCTTTAATCTTCCTAAGAGCTTGTCTTCTGCGTTTGCATGTCAAATGGACCGGTGACATCGCACCCGAAAAGGTCACGAGGGCGCGCGGGTCGACCGCCGGCCCGGTAATAGCCCCTGCAGCGCGAGTGTGTGGAAGAGTGTCCGAAGGGCGCCGGGCTCAGGAGCGCGCTGGCGTGGGCGGTGACGTGTGACGAGACTCACGGCGGATCAGTCCGGGCTGGCGGCCGCTCGGCGACGGCTGCCCTCGCGTGGACTGGACTGTACTGCGCTGGACACGACTGGACTGCGCTGGACTGGACTGTACTGCGCTGGACTGGACTGGACTGGACTGGACTGCGCTGGACTGGACTGGACTGCGCTGGACTGGACTGGACTGCGCTGGACTGGGCTGAACTGCGCTGGACTGGACTGGACTGGACTGGACTGCGCTGGACTGGACTAGACTGCGCTGGACTAGACTAGACTGCGCTGGACTTGACTGGACTGCGCTGGACTGGGCTGAACTGCGCTGGACTGGACTGGAGTGGACTGGACTGCGCTGGACTGAACTAGACTGCGCTGGACTAGACTAGACTGCGCTGGACTAGACTGGACTGCGCTGGACTGGACTGGACTGCGCTGGACTGGACTGGACTGCGCGGTCGTACGGCCGTCACGCCAATAAATGGCGCAGGGCTGTAGAGTGGTCTACGCTTGACGCGAGGAATATTGCATCAGACTACGCAAACGGGGACCTTCAACCAGTTGCTCCGGCTTTCAGAAAATTTATGTCAGCGCTTCTCGCGACGAGCTATGGGAAATGGAAAATATTACGAGTTGACGCAAAGCTGTCAACAGAAGGCGCTTCCGCTGGGTTCCAAGCGAAGAACGGGTACACCCATGACCAAACTGACAACAGCTAAGACCTTGAGCGATACTTAGTGACTTGGCATTTCCGAAGAATTAAATATTCAGTGGGAGATCGCAACGCCAGAGATCATGTCGAGAATCACCAGCATCAGTGGCCGGGAAACAAAGACTAGGGCTTAGTTTACTTGAACCAGGGCGCACGTCACGTTGCTAACAATGATGCAAGGATGGTGATTATTATTGTTAAAATAGCATGCCTGAAATATACGCTTCTTCACATCTTGTATATATAAAAAGATATCTTATTTAATGACATGAAAGCGAATTTACTTCTTACTTTTCTGCGGTATCTATGAATTTCTTCAAAAACGAATATCGATTGATTAAAATGTCACTTATATCACGAGTTGAGTTGGATGTACCGAACTACGGATGCATTAACTGAGCACACTATCGAGCGCATATCGAAGGAGTGCAAAAGTGTGAGCGAAAAGAGAGGGTGGAGAATGAAATTATTTTCCTTTGTTACATTTCAACATAAACTGTGTCGCTTCTAGTGGGCTCTCTATCGAATCTGCACCAGACCAAATACCAACGGTGAAAACAGAAAGACAGAAACACGGTCATGAAACATGTATATACGCCAATATTCTCTTATCGGCGCGACTTTGCAGGAGATCCTGATGATGGCTCATATGGTGATGGGGTTACGGTAAAATCAAAACATAATTGCCTCAGAAGCATGCGGAACTGGGACCATCGCTGCGAGTACTGGCAGCGATGCTGACGTCCAGTCTACCTGGCGCGCGCTCTTCTGATCCTTATTGAGTTTTAAGAATCCAGATGATTTGCTTTTAGTTAGGTGAATACTGGATACCGCTGACCAATTGGTAAAAAGCACTCTGTTAGTGAATACATGTCTCGCAACGACAGCCTTGGTTCCAGGTTCAATGTGACATTGACGCCGAATCATGCGAGGTTCAAACACGATGAGCGTGACACCATGAGACATTCATGTTCCCCGTAGATACCCGCGCTTGTCAGCTTTGGAATGGGAACTGACTTGCAAGTAACGACACAAATGATCACGAAATAACAAAAGCACATAATTTGCTGTCATACGATGAAATGAACGTAATTTCTTGGACGACGCTTCTTAAATTCCCATTCCCCAATAAGCATATGTTTCAATCATCGGTTTCCAAAAAATAGAGCTCACAGTAGTATGCTTGAGATGTTGCCGAAGGCACCACAGTCAACCACGTGCATATCTTTCTCACAAACGTCCACCTTGCCCGGCCGGATATGCCGGAGGATTGCTTATTAGACGCGATACCCAGCGAATAATAGTGTATGTAGCGTGTGTGCATGGAGTGCACGGGCCAAGGTTCACGGCTGGGCGATAACTACCCGCTCCGATGACGGATAGCCTGCCACTGTCTAATGACCTCCAGGTCGGGTCATTAGATCACTCGGCAACCGACACTACAGACGCCAACGCACGCACAGATGTCAGCATGCGTTCGCAGACGGCACTCACTCGGGTGTAGAGTCTGCATCTAGTTGAGCATGTATCAGTTAAGCATAGATGGAGATGCGCATTGATTTGTATCGCTGTCGATACGCATGCTTGTCCTTGTGTGTCGCATTGCTTTTCCACATTTTCCGCAATATTTCCACAATTTCCACATTCAAGCTTCTTTGAAGCTTCTCGGGTAGCAATAGCAACAGCAAAAAATGCGTGTTTTCATATTTCGTCTGCAATCTTTCAACGAAGCATATAAGGCCGGTGATAATTAACAACCTCTGCGCTTTGATGTAGGAAAGTTCGAGGTGGCATCCACCCGAGATTGCACTGCCAAACAGCAGATGCCCTCACAGCCAGCAAGGTTATTGATCGCAAAGGGTGCTGCCGTCAAACAATGCGCGCGAAAAAAATAGAGTCGCTACGCTGCCAGCAACGGCAGCCTCCTGTCCTATCGTTTTTCGAGGATGTTTTTCGAGATTTGTGATCGATTACATTTGAGCTGAAAAGATAGCCACAGCAGAGGCTGTGATGTTAAGGAAAGTGGCATCTGAGCATCGAATATAAATTTGCTTCACAGATCGCAATACAAACTTTGAGCTCGGCCTAGCTAGATGCTACGACGACCCAGATAGACGCTACGGCGATGGATGGTCCTGCATCACAACACGGCTCCCGCCCACTGCTTGCGGCAGAAACAGAATGGTCCTATTCAATACCACACAGGCACCGGCAGCGGGCGGAGCTGAGGGCCCAGCCAGAGGCAGATTACATCACGGAAGGTCGAAAGATTACATCACGGTCTTTAAATAAACCTTTATTTGTTTTCAGATTCCAATGTTGCTTCATGATTTAATTGTCCTAGGCTATGTCAAAGTTAACTGATCAAATACCACCAGTTTAAGCCGAAACTCCACAAATAACACCGACTTAAGCCGAAACTCCATAAATCATCCACCAAAACGGTATGATAAAGGGTCTGAAACAACCGGTAGTTGTCAGCGAGGAGACGCCATATGACAGAATAGTTGACACACCCTACAACCCAGATGATAATCGTCATCATCGCCGGAAACGTCCC